CCTGAAGAATTCCTGATTATCCTTCCATTAACTTTTACTCTCCTCTGTCTCCCTCGGGGAGGTAACAAGTAGTCTTTCCTTCATCATGGGTTTCCAGCTGGTTACCTCCCTGGTTCCCTCCTAAATAGATTCTCTCAGTAGTTTTGCGTGTCGCTGAGGAAATATCGACTGTGAAATTTCAGCGCCATCTAAAAGTACAGCAGGGACTGCTGAAATGGGGTTTTGAAATGCAAGGAAAGCATCCTGGATTTTAAAGCGCCATCACAAAGAACAGAATAACCACACACCACGTCTAAAGCATAGTGTTGTAGCACAACCGGGAGAAGGGGCATTGCTCTTTGTGTTTGGCATTTCAACTCCTCAGCTGTATTGCTGAAAACTTTGATGAAGGCTTGTCTGAGTGCCATTCTTATATTTTCTGGTCTAATTAGGATTGTTTACAAATCAACATTTAAACCTATGTCTTGGTTGCATTGAATGCTGCACACTTCATTACATTCCTCACTTCCACAGGTTTTCCTTTACAGAGTTCAGATTGCTTCTTAATCAGGTTCTCATACCCTGTGTCTATCACAGCTGCAGCTGGGGACATTCCAGCACAGCATTTAGCAATGAAATCTTCATCTCTCTTGTGTCCATCCTTCTGCAAACTCATACAACAATAAATGTTTCTCTGAGTACGACCTGAGTCCTGTTCCCAAAGCCTGGGTCCCTGCAGGGTGTTTTGCACTGGGAACCCATCCATGCAAATTTTGGACACACTGCTGATGTCTTGACCACTAATCTCTATCGTCATTTAAATTTTAAGTAGTACTAAAACAACCTTTGAGGCTTTTCTCTCTTATCAGATATTCCTACTTGGTTTATATCCAGTTGATAGTGGGCTGTATGTTTCTTCTAGTTATTGCCTTAAATTGAGCATAAACCACTGTTTGCTCATTCCTATCAATATTCTTTGTTTGAGACAGGCTGCTGAATCAGCTCCTTTAGAATTATTCAAACTGAAATAATTGATTAGCTGAATTCAAGACAAGTTGCACGCTTCTGGTTTTGGTATTGGTAGTCCTAGAAAATTAGCAAATACCAGAAACTGAATTTTAAAATGTGATATCTAGCTTTGTTACTGTAAATATTTACATGAGCAATGAGTTGTATCTGGGGAGCAGAGATGACTCCCCTTATTCACATGAAGCAGAAGCAGACTTTTTGAATAATCACACTGATTTCAAGGGCTTGTTGAGTTTGTGGCCGCTGAACAGAAATAAGATGGTTAGAATATGGCCCCAGCTATGTGGCAATGCCAAGCCTAATTTGAGCATGTGATTCATCCAATTTCCCATGCAGAGTGGAAAGTCAAGGGTTTTCTTCAATTGCATGTGTAAATCTGTGGGCCTGAGAGATTACAGGTGACATTAGACTCTTCCTTTTGCAAATCCTACATATTTGCATATCTGTACATGCATAATTTTACCAGAAATTCCCCTACAGTGTTTAAAGACCTGTTGGGTATGTCTCTGTCTGTGCAGATCTGGAGTCTTAGAAGATTAAGTAAGGGTGAGACATTCAGCCACAGGGTAACAACTCTGGTGTGCATTCAAATTTTGTATCAGGTAGTTTGTTATATTATTAAAATAGTGGAATTTCGTAACAATGGTAGTTGCTGCTTTATAAACCTCACTGTTGCTCAAGCAATATGCAAAATGAATGAATGCATATAGCTTTTTATGTCTATCCTTAGACAAAAGTTGGGATTTTCACTGTGTCCCTGTAGAGTATGTCCTTTTTCAAGCACTGCGGAGGGGTGTGTGTATGTCCCCTTCTGGGCTGCCTATACACTACGCAAGCTGGTACCCTGCAGCCTTGGAGGTTGGAGGGGAAGAAAAACCATGTGTTTTGTTTGTGGCTTCTCAAAGCAACAGAATAATGAGATAAAAAAGCTCTGTGCTTTCTGACGGGTCACATATCTTTCTGATCTATAGGATTTGCACCCTTGACACCATCTTTTGAGGAGCACTACCAAAAAGTATGGAATGAATGTAGATTATGTGGGAAATATCTCAGTAGTGCGCTCACACAGCTGGAGTCAGCACAGTCTCCCACTGTTAACTGAACATGTCCTTTATGGAAATTGGCTTTGTAACCCACATTTCAACTGCTGAAGAGTTATGAGGTCAGCAAGTGCAGTTCAGAATTTAGCTCATTTTGTGTATATCTTGGACCATATTCACCCCTGGGTTTTATACCACAAAAATCAGTGGAATGATGCCAAGAAAAAAATCATCCCCTAATATTTAAAGTCAGCTCCTCCAACACATGTATATTTCCCTGAGCTCCCTACCATAGCTCTAGGAAGGCTTCTGCTTGCTGGTTCCCGAAGGTTATAATTTTCATATGGGCACTGAGAATAACTAACAATAGCAGGTTTTGGATGGATATTAAATCTCGTGCTTTAGGGTATGAACTAGTCTCTAACTACTCGAGAGCAGAAAGAGGTTGCTGCAGTGAGCAAACTGTTGGATTTCTGCCCTCTGCAGTGCTCTTGCCCCTTTCTGCAATGCATCTGGTGGTGGCAGCGTGGGGCAGGCGGGTGAGCTGGATGCACCGTGGGCAGCTCGGCACAGGCGATTCCCATCTTACTCCGAGAGCAGGTTGCCGATCCTGAAACCAGAGCGTCACATCGCTGGTGCTTCGGTAGGAAGCGAAGAACTAATGTCTGCAGTCCCTTTTAATGACAGACTTTCAGCAGTGATCACAGAATTGTCTTGCAGAGTTAATTTTGGCTAATGAGCAATTAGTCAGCTCGGCGGTGAGTTCCCCCCTGGCCTGCTGGGGACGAGGTGGTCAGGGCTGAGCACGGTGCTTCCTGGTGCTGTGGGGCCCCAGCAGGACCCACATGGGCCCAGCACCTTCACCTGCGGTGGCACTTGACCTGCAGCTGAAATTTCCTCTTTCTGAAGTTGAGGGATTTATTTCCCAACTACACATTTACTGTGTTATCCTAAGTGTCAGCAGAATCTCTTCTTTTTTCTTCATTTTTTTTTTTTTCTTTTAAATACTTAATGCAGCCAGAGAAGATCTGTCAGCAGAAGCCTCCTTGCCTGCCCAAATGAAGGTTGAACTTGCGTGGGCTGAGCATATTCCAGCGTGAATGTGTTTAAATTTGGGGATAGCTACAGATGACGTTGCTGCTTTCTCGCCTTGCGCGAGAAGCGCGGGGCTGGCGAGCGCCCCAGCGCTGGCACGTGCCTGGCTGCCTCGGGTCACGCTGCGGTAGCGAGTGGTGGGACTGGGAGCAGGCACAGATGGTGCTCCAGAAGGGGAAATCCAGAAGCTCATGAGCTCGTTTCTTTTAGGGAGACGCGTCCATATGCCATCCGTAGAGCACAAGAGCCTGCTTATCAGCCTGGAGCACTCCGGGGATGAAGTAACCCAAATCAATAGCTAAGACTGGATGCTGATACTGGCTGCACTGGTTTAGCCTCCGTGCTCTGTCTGTCTTCCCTGGTAGGGAGCAAAGTCCTGTGCTCGAGTGTCATCATCAGTGCTTCTCCAGCCCAGGGCTGAGGCATTTTTGGGAGGAGCTAGCTAGGGAGCCTGCGTGGCTGGATCCATTGCTGACGGGCTCAGCTCTGACCCCTCAGTTTTCCCTTCTGCAATCCTGGGCACAGCTCTTGCAGGTGAGTTGAGGATAGGGAACGTGAGCACTGTAAATCGAGTGCTTGATTGTCCATCCCCTCGGCTCGGCACTGCACACCGAAGCACAGAGGTGCTCGCCACGAAGGATATCTTGCAGTGGGCCACGCATCTCAGGGATGCTTGCAGACCATAGCAATTAGGAGCAAAAATCTGAGGCATTTGTGCTAATCTGATAACTGATCATTGCTCAAATACAGTGTAACTAACAGCAGTGATACATTGACATTGGTGACAGTCAGCTCTTCAGAAGGCACTGATGTTTTCTGAAATAAAGATTAGACCCTCTTCCATTGCATATTTTAGTGAATTTGGGAAGAAAAAAAAGTCAAATGAAATGTTGTCCCACCCAAACAGGAGCAGTGATAAACAAGTTACTTGAATTGCTGTGTTTACATATTGGGGAGAGGAGATGCACTTACATAAAAATGTGTTTGTGTCTATATAACTGCATAAATATATATATATGTATATGTAACACCCAAAATACATCATTATGCATTCATATTCATGTGTGGAGTCTGTCTGAGGATGTATGCGTATATATAAAAATATGATTTATAGGTTTTTAAACCTCCCTGACAGACTCCAGGATACTAATTTCTAAATGTATGCCAAGATTTTTGACTAAGAGACAGGTAGCAGTAGGTGCTAATAAATGAAAGAACCGAGAGTGAAATGTTGTGACATGCACCTCTCTGAACAACCTGCGGAGCTCTGGCAGAATCATCAAACCGAGCTGAGAGTAATCAGCAGGGACTGATAAAGCTGCTCTTGTAATTATTTGTTTGATATACAGCTTTCCTTCTTCCTTCTGCATAAATAGCAGAATTGCTTTGCTTAGTGTGGGAGGTTTTTTATTCCTGTCAGGGCTTGTTCTCACCCAGATGTCATGAGAGGAGGACTGAGGTCTGCATTTTTGTTTTATTTACGGGCTTTCCATTGTAATTCTGACAGCATGCGGTGGAGACAGCATTCATTTAGATGGGGAGAGGCGTCCTTGCTCATGCAAAGCTGTCGGTGTTGCAGGGGCCCAACTCTGCCACGCTGCTTTTAAGCCACTGATTCCTCCAGGTTTGGCCTGGAAGAAGCTGTTCCTGAGAGGAGGCGGCTGTTGAGGTCTGAAGGCAGTCGCGATGTCATGTCTCTGTATTTAGATATTAAATAAAATTCCCACAGCAGCTTTCTTGTTTAAGTGTGAGCTTGATGGTGCTGCAGCCCAGACTAGGAAACCGCGCAGCCCTTCAGATTGGCAACTGTTAGTTATCCTTAAATAACTTCCTCTCCTCACCTCTTCTACTGTCTAGGCAAGAAAATCCAAGCACTGACTGATTTCCAGGCAGTCACAGTGGTGGCCCGTCAGCAACGACTGAACTGAGCCAAAAGGCTCCTGTTGATGTCAGTGGTTTCTGGGAATGCTGCCTGCGTGGTTTTGTTCCGGGATTTCCCTCTCTGTCCATGCCTGGTTGAGCTCTGACTTCACTTGGGGCAAATTTTGCAATTCTGTGTTTAACAAAAGGTACGGTAATTCATTCACACTCTAAGCACTGTAACTTTCCTTGTTCCATTTATGTTCTATTTGTCTTTTTTCTTTCCTTAAGGAAAAGGAAATCCTTCTGTTTCTTATGAAAAAAAAAAAAAAAAGGATAAATTTTTCTTTTAAAAACAAACAAAAAAATTCTATACATCAGAAGAGTTTTTATATTGTCTAAGCATTTTTACCAGGAACTCAGGAGGGAGGGGGGAGGCATAAGGGGAGAGAGGCACATTAAAGCAGAAAATAGATCTCCTAGCCTAAAGTGAGAGAAATCCAGACTGCTGCCTTTAAGCGTACATTTGAATCCTGTCAAGGGCATCTGGAATATATTGGTAGGCATTTCTCCTTCTAATAATACTAAAAATCTGATAATGATGAGGCACAGTTATGCCGCCAGCCCTGTACTTCACATGCACGTGCAGTATTGGGAAAGGGTCTGAGGCATTGGAGGCTGCGTTCAGTCTCATGCCAGGGTCAATGTCAACTCGCTCTTGCTCAGGAGAAATACTTCAGACTTGAACCAGATTAATGAAAAGAGAGATTATTCTGAGACTAAGAAAAAAGCTTTACACCTATTTCAGTTTTGTGGGGGGTTGTTCCTGAATGATTACGGTGCATCCTTTCAATGCTTTCTGATTCCAGGCAATGATGGCATTTTAAGATAAATAATGTGTTTGCGGCTCTGCTTGTTATTGAAGGGCTTTTATTATTGCTGATGTTACATGAAGAAGAAAGTTATTAAAAAAATGTGGCACTAACAAATTGAAGCCCCCAGGGATCTGTTGCCTGAATGGGATTTTGATTGGAGTTCAATTTAATTGGCCATAAATCTTCTAATTTCTGATTTATATTCTACTTCAGACCAATCTACCAAATTCATGATAATCAGGTTTTCATTTTTCTCTATCGAACAAAATACTCTGACATGAGCATAAACAGAAATATTCCTTCAGCAAGGTGACCTTGTTCTTGCTTGCACTGTGCTGGTAATTGATTTAATGCCTCCTTACCTATAAATTGGGCCTCTTTGAGGCATGTCTGTCAGATTTCAAGGTAATTGGTTAGCGTAGTTGGTTTTTCACTGTAGTATTTTGACTGCAAGATATTTCTTATAAACCTCTAGTACAAGAGTAGCTGTGATCATTCTTCCTGACATGATGGAAAAAATTCAGCTGGTAGACATACACATGCCCCTCCTGTTGGCTGGCTTTGAATGCAGCTATGTGCATATCTCAGAGAATAAAAGCTCTTGTTCTAGCCTGGAGTAAATATGTAGGATGCAGAGCCCAGTAATTTCTGTGGGGTTTGAGTTGAATCTTTTTCCTGTCACATTGCAGTGTCTTTAGGGGAATGGAGTTACACTGCTTGCACCAGGCCCTTCTGGTTTGGAGGTCTGCTGCAAAGGAAGAGGCTGGGATGGTTTTTGTGCCTGCAATGAACATTAGCTTTTGCTCTGTGACTCGCCCAAGTGCTAATGGGGAGAGAATGGAGACCTGAGGCTTCTCTGTGAGTTCTGGGGCAATGTAAATGCTGACTTGGAGGTGCTGGACCCGGTTTCTGCTCTGAATCTTTGGAATTACTCTTTTGGATTAGAATGCTTTTTCATGAGGAAGTTGGATGCCCATTGAGAATTGCTTAGTGTGTGAGTTTGTAGTGCTTTTTACATCAGAGGTCACCTTAGTTTGGGTTTTTCCTTGAAAAACTGGATGAAGAGGGTTTGTGCTTTAGGTGCTTCCCCAGTGCCCCATGAGAGCTGCAGCTCGGTTGCACTTGCAGCCTGTTCTCCCCTGATCAGAGCTCCCCAGCTCATCCCCTTCCCCACCTTGTGCTGAGGGCTGGGGCTTCACCTCCTCCCCAGGAATGGGGATGGGCAGCAGCGCTCGCCTGAACTTCAGGCTCCAGCAACTCCCAGGACAGTTCGGAGCACTTCAGTTTGGGCCAAACCAGGTGTATAGTGGAATTTTGTCACTCCCAAAAGAAATTTTACAGAAGAAAAAAGTTTTCCAGGCAGCCTGAGGCTCCAGGATCACATCTCCCCCCTGGCCTGGAGTGCCGTGCACCACACCACAATGTAGAGCTGTCCTCTCCCACTCTGCTGCTCTGCTCTCCTTTCCCTTGCTTTAGCCAAGATTGCTTTTTGTGATTGCTGGTTTAGATTCATCAGGAGTTTTCCTTACCCACCTGATCTCCAGTATCGAAAGGAGAGTGTACACAAGAGGAGTGTGGGGGTGAATTCTTTAGGGAAGTGATTTGGGAGGGGAGATGAGTAAGAGGTGGGATCAAAGGAAATAGAATTGTTGTCAAATTTTGATTAGATACCCAAACCCTTTAAACTCGCTGCTCTTGCAGGCTCACTCATGGGAATCTCAGTAAAGTGCCTCAGCTGCTGCAAGGAAAGGGGAGAGAACCAGCGTGCATTGAGATGTAATCATTGTTACTGAGTTTGGAGAATATTGCACTTAAGTGTTTTTCCCCACCCTTCCCGTTCCAGGATTCTTTTGTGTTTCTCAGTTGTGTAGCTTCCTTACATTGCTCATTTAACCATTTCCAACAGTACTAGGATTGACAGGTTGAGTTTTCTGCAATCTCACAACTTCATGGACTGTAAATTGAATGTTTTATGGCCTGTTGTAAAGGTGAAAAGAAAGTTACATCTGCTACCAGTTTCCTAATTACACCAGTGTCAAATACATTGAATTTGTTAATATCAGGTACTCTTGCTGAAAACGTTTATAACCATGGCCTTGACAACTGGATGCAATTACTTTGCAGTGGTTTTCCTTTTGTTTTCTGAAACATTAGAATTCATTCTCTTCTCTTTCCTCTCCTTCCCTCCCTACAAAAGAACTGGAGATAAATCAGTATTTCAACTCATTATGATTACCTTTTGAAATTTTTTTGTCAGCAAAGATGAATAACTGGAAAATTACTGAAAGCAATGTAAAGAAAAATGAGCATATGTTACTGAAGTTTCTGCTGAGCCCACCAGTATTTAGGGCTTGTGTGACAGTGGTGGGCAGGTACTGAGGCAGAGGAGACCTGACTGTGTCTGGTGCTGTCCTGGCTGAGCGCTTGGAGCAGGGTTTGTTCCCCAGGGGATGGGCAGAAAGGGAGTGCTTCATGGGGAACAGCTGAAGGACTCGCACCGTGTCCTGACCCGCAGAAAGCATGTGGCAGAGACGAGAAGCATCACAGATAAAAGTGTCTTCGTCCCAGATTATGCATCTACAAGCAGCTAAATCCTTCTGGCTGTGGTTTGTGTGTTTGGGCTATCTGTGAAGCTGTCAATGGGAAGGGTTTGGAACTCACCTTCAGTGTGCAGCCTGCTCTGCAGCGCAGTTGTTTCTTCTCCTTCAATCATTACCTACTTGAGTCTCAGTGTAGGAGTCAAAGCCTTTTCCAAGCTACCTAGATGTTAACTCTGGTTATAGCTTGGACCCCAAAGTCCAGTGGATAGGATTGGGAGTTGGTGGTTCTTCCACTTGTGGCATTAAGTAGATCACCTTTGGCTCCAGTTTCCTATCCTGGCTTTTGTTTGGGGCAGGAGTCACCTGTATGTGAATTGGAACAAACAAGGCTTTGGGTTTGGTGGTATTGCAACTAAACATTGAAGGAGAAAGAGATCTGTATGTCTGCCCTGAGCTGCAGCTCTGTGCCGTCCATTAGATCATTTGGGCCAACATCCACCTAGAGAAGATGCTGGTTGCTTGCAATTCTTCCTCTTTTCCTGCTATTCCATCCCTTAGTTCCCAATGCTTTTGGAGAAGAGCAAATCCTTCAGCACAGATCTTCCAATGTCACATAGAGAGATTAATGATGGTTTGTTTAGTAGGTTTGATTACTGAAGCTGGTCAAGAATTCTCCAAGATGTTTTTCCAAAATGTTCTAGTATGAACCATCTTCACTTCCTTGAACTCTGATTTTGGTGAAAGTTTGACCAATAGACTTCTGCAGGATTGAGATGGGATGGGAGACATCTCCCACCTCTGTTCCCAGATGGGAGTAAGAACCAGTCCAACTCACTCTGGATTAGGTACGCTTGTTAAATTCGGTGCCATGCCAAATTATGTTTGACCTTAAGTGCTCACTGAGTACTAACCTGCACATCCCGAGCTCTTGTAAGGAGGAGCTTCCTGTCATGGTCAAGGTAATGAGCGAAACTAGAGCCTCCCTCGTGGCACAGATGGACACCCCAGACTTTACACCTTCCCTTACCATCCTCTCTAGCTCCTGTAATTCTGGTGGGAGGTTGTCAAAAGCTTGTGCCTTTCATCTCTGAAGTGGGAAGGGTTTTATTTATTTTGTTAATCTGAAAGTTAAGTGGGTGGGAAGATAAGTCTGCAGCCCCGCTCCATTCATCACGTGGTACCAGCTCTTGTTTCCCCTTGAGAGAGGCAGAGCAGATGGAAGGCAGAGATGAAATGAAGATCAAAAGTAAACAGCGTGATTAAGTTTTTGATAAAGGATAAAACACTTATCACATCAAAGCCTCTGAAAAACACATTAAATGTTTCCTGAACATTTCATGTCCACGTAAGCATTAACTTTACTTGCCATGGGGACATTTGTAACAGCAGGCAGTGGAGTTGGGGAATGCTGGTGGGGTATTTACCCTCGTGGCTCTGCTGCAGGTCACCTGGCTGGCACCAGGAAGGTAGAGCTGGCAGCCTGTTAGCTGTCCTCTAGCACACTGAACCTCTCTTGCTGCAGGGTTGGTGGGCCCATCTTATGTCCGTGGTTAGGCAGTCCTTTCTTTAAGCCATGCCTCCTCAGTTTTCCAAGTTTGGGCGCTGGTTTTCCAGAGGTTTTAAGGCAGCTGCAGATGTAGATAGGTGCAGAGTTTGTGGGTGGCTTTTCTCCCAAGCATTGGTGATCCTTTGGTTCCATGCTTTGGCTCAGTGAAATAAGTCCTTAAATATTTTTGTGTAAGCAGCATAAGTTGTACTGTGTCTGTGGATTGCCTATTTTCATCGCTGTGTTGCAATACTGAGCTGGCCAGTGGAGAAAGATTAAAAAGCAGTATATTGCCATTATTTTTTAATTTATTTTCCTAACTTATGAATGTATGAAATGTATTAAAAGAATCTAAAGAAAAGGCACTTTGTAATAGCCAATAAAAGCCAAGAATGATGAATGATGAAGTAGAAGAATAGCAAAAAATAGTTGATGTAGTAATAAATACAGGAGAAGATTGCCTGTTCCAGTTATTACCGTAACACCCCAGAAGTGCATTTCGTCTGCAGTGGCAATGGGCTCACTTCCAGCAAACCTGACTTTGTCATCCAAAACCACCTCAGTTGAAGAAGCTGTTGCATTTCCCAATCAGGGAATCCTTGGCTGAACTCACAGCCTCAAGATCTGGGAGAACATTGAGGAGCCCACCATGATCTGGTGTGACACCGTTGTCCTCCTCATTCTTGAGGATAGAGGGTCATGAGGACACCTTACTGCAAAGTTCCCCAACAAATGAGGAGGGACCTTTCCTGTGCCTTCTTGCTCAGCATCACCTGCAGAGAGCTGGGATTATTGGTGGCACTGTGCCACTGTTGGTGGATGTAACATTTTGGTAAAATTAATGCAAAATGCTATTGTACCAATTCAGTAGCATTTTATGTTGCCTTTGTGCAGATGCCAGTGCTGAGTCCAATCTGCTTTTTTTTTTTTTTTTTTTTTTTTCTCATTTTATAACTTTAATTTTCTGTAGGCAAGGAAGGAGCTGCATGCCCTGCCACATGGGAGGTCCTGTGTAATGGAGACCAGTCCCAGAAACAGTCTGCCCTTGAATTCTCTTTTTTCTTTTTTTAACCAGTGCAGAGACATTTTCACTTCTCCAGCTCTCAGTCCTTTAGAGCACAGAGATAGTTTAAATGCTGTATGTGTGCAGCCACCTGTATAGTCAGTCATTTTGCATGGCAGGGTGTGGAAGCCTGTCCTTCACTAAGATCCTCTCACCAGCAGCACTCTCTCCGGAGCACTATTTAGCAGTCTTTCAAGGCACACATTGTATTTTGCCCTTGTCACTGCCACCAGAGCCTTTGCTATTAGCAAAGCATCTCTGCTCCTGAACCTACAAGCATGAAGCATGGTTTTGGGACCAGTATATAGCAGTATCTCTTTCCAAAGTCAGGACACCAGCCCTCCAGTACATGGAAATTTCAAGGTCTTAGTAAGTATGCGTAAGAGCAGCAGAACTTGTGAAACTTGGGGGTTTGGCTTTTTTTGTTGTGATTAGCTTTCCCTGTACTTAGCAAGGTTGGTGGATGCTGTTCCTTCAGCTGATGTATTTTTAAACTTTCTCACCTCTGTATAAGTCCTGTAGTTGAGTTTTTAAAATCTCCCAGGATGGAAATTGAACATCCTTTCCCAGTCCCTCTTCCAATTTCACGTGGCGCTCAGGGGAGGATTTTCTCTTATGTTCAACTGGAATTTCGCTTCTGCAGCCTGGGGGTGTTGCCTCTCCTTCTGTCACTCTGCTCTTCTAAAAAGTGTTTGGCTCTGTCTACACTGTCTACCTTTTCCATCATCCAAACCACCAGCTGTACAATATGATAGATCTCCTTGAGGTTGTTTGCTTGTTTGTTTTCCTCTCTCAGTGCTTCCCTTGTTTCTGTATTCTGTGAGTGGTTGACAGCATAACCTCATCTTGTGCCTACTGCAGGCGGTCACATACTTGGGCTCTTTCAAAACAAGATCTTGTTTCTATTTAGTACTTTGAAAAGAGTACTTCGGAAACTGCATGAACAGAAAAAGAGATTGGGTGTTGCGAGCAGAGAGGTCCCCATCCTAAATTCCTGTCTGCCAATTACTAATGTTAGTTACTGTCAAGCTTATTAGTGCAAGAGATTTTTAGTCTCTGTGCAGTTGGCCTTCATTGTGCTGTAACAGTATCAGATAACAGGGAGCAAAAGGGCATGAAGCTAAAACCTTCAGGTCTTCGGTGGCAACCAGGCACCAGCTGAGATATGACACAGGCCTTGCCCAAAAACTTGAGATTAGACCAGGAATTTCATAATAAAAAGTCAAATTTAATTCCTTAACGATACTCAGGAGGGATGTCTCAGTGACAGTTATACAGCTGGTTTTATTCAGTTTTTTTAAAAAGGGTAATTTTTTTCTTAAGAAACATTACTATGTATTTCAGCAAGATTTCTCATGTAATGAGATGCAAAAGTTCAAGCAATATCCTGTTTAGATACATTTCTATTTGATAATAAAACCAGCACTGACAGTAAGGGATTGCACTGAATGCATTATTACTTTGAGTTCTGTGTTATGCTGAAGTCAGGATGTGTCCTCTAAGTTCTCAGATGTTTTAACCTTTTCTTCTCCTCATCTAGACAGATACACGTCCATTAGATTTATTTCTTGATCTATATGGACATGTAATCCTTCTTGGGATTATTGTCATAGAAACAAGATGTAACACAGAGTGTGTTAGAAGTAACAAATGGGATTTGGCAGTCTTTCCCATTTACTACACAGTCTGAGCTGTGTACAAAAAGCAGCAATTACTTGCTCTTGGAGCCTTATTAACGGGCACATCTGCACATTCATTAAAACTAGATACTTCAACTTCTATTCTGGCCAGGATGACATTCTGATAGATACTCTGGTCTTTAAAATAAACTAAAATCCCTGACATCTATTTTATTTTTCAGTTAAGGTAGGAACTTGTTGGTTTTGACATTCTCGTTCCTTTTTGTTTGACTGCAAATCCCGGAGGCAGCCCACACTCCCAGCCTGTGTGAGCCTCCCAGAAGGAGATAAGACACAGTAACCAAACCGCTGGCTCCTGGGGAACAGTCCCTCCTTTGAAGGATGAAGTCACCCAAGTTTTGCTCGTAAAGCCTGATCTTCCACAGTGCTGGGACCCAGCTCCCAGCCTCTCCCAGGGCTTCACACCCTGCCTGGCTTACAGGCTCGCTGCCCTTCTCATCCTCAGCAGCTCAAGGTTGCTCCGAGTTGGCAAGTTGCAGCAGCCTGAGCTTGGGGGGGAATAGATGGGTTGTGCCAGGCAGAGAGATGCTTTTGCAGGAGTAATTACAACATACAGTATGTGTAACTACAGCTGAGCTGACTGTCTGGGTCACAGCACATCTACCGATACATGTGAGGGAGAAACTCAAATTTTTAAGCCAAATCCATGGGGCAGCTTTTGAAGTTGTATGGGATGGGGAAAAGGCAGAAAAGCAGATAGAATGGAATACAGAGAAGAGCAGAGAAATATATCAAAAAATAAGTCATATCTGCTGACTGCTTGTGACCGAGCACCGGCAGGCTGAGGCGCGGCGGCAGGCAGGCAGTGTCAGCGTGTGGCCCTGTGCCTTCCTACGTGGGAGGTCGGTGCCTGCTCAGCAGGCCGCGGGGTACGGATCTTGCTCTTCCAGCAGGCAGAGGCTGTGCTCAGGAGGGAGAGCTGGAGTCCTGGGAGAAGTTTTGTAGCTGCTCGGGGAGCAGAGCTTGGCTCTAGGACTCTTCCCTTCCATCATCTCTTTCCCATCCTCGCTCGCACCAAGTAAAATCAAATTCAGAAACAAATAGTCAAGTTGCAGAGGGGTCCCTTGCCCTGGATGATGTGTTTGCTGGTCTGGGAGTGAGCATGCACTGTCCTTTTCCCAGTCCACATCCTATAATGCTGCCTCTAGTTGAGAGCAGAGCAGCTTCTGGGTGGGATTTCAGAGGCAGCTGGAGATGCTTTAAAGCTCTCAGGGCAAAATCTGTCATCCCCCTGCACCAGTTCAGAAACAAAACAACTTAGCTCAGCGGAAAAAACATTAAAACTGTTTGTAAGCCACAAAATTGAGACGGAACCTAGAATGCAACCCAAAGAACCCAGAGAACTGAAATACAGGGAGCTTGAAACTGGGCTACACGCTCAGTTTCCCTGGCCTCCTTTTCAAATGTGCTAAGCACTCTGCATCTCCAGTGAAGTCGATGAGTACTCAGGATCTTTCTGAAACATTTATTTGGTACCTAATTATAGATCTAGGACTGACTAACTTCAGGCTCCAAAAATAGCGCAAGTGTCTGCCTTCTCCCTCTTCCTCACTTCTCTTTTCCTTGCTCTTCAATCTCTTTTTCAGCTCCCATGTTCTCTGTTCTCTCTAACCCCCTTCATTTTTCCATCCTCCTTCAGCTGACTTCTGATCCTGCTTCTACCCCCTCACTCGCTCTGACACCTCTTCTGTCCTGTGGGAGCCACAGAGCATTTCTCAAGGTCCATCCTGAGCAAGCCTTAGGTGGTACCCCTTTTATCACCCTCTCTCACCCTAAATTTTCCCTGACTCATTATTGGGGGGACAGAGGTTCAAATGAACAGCTCTGTTCTGCTCAGGAACCTGCTGAATTCAAGTTCTGAATACGTTGCTTCTCCTACGTGGGACTGACCAGGGATGGCAGAAAAAAGGGAATCATCACAGACACTCTTGATTGGGGTGACAGCCCAAAGGAGCTGCCATCACTTTCTGGCCCAAAAGAATAAATTAAAATGTCCCGTTTTCCTGTGTATTTCCCATTGCAGGCATCATCTGTGAATGACAACAGTAAAAGGTTATAATGAAGGGATCATGTTAATTTTGTGAACAGGAAGCTCTCATTAGTGGCTTGTGTTTTTCAAATCAACCAGAAGACAGATGTGGCTGTGAATCTGATGGATCTTGTCCCTGACGTGAGTTCCTCTCTGTTGTAGCAAGGCATGCCCCAAACGCTGAGTTCTACCAGTATGTTTACCCCATGTGGCTTCAGCCCTCATCTACATACTTCAAAAGAAGATGAACAAGGAGGACTGATCTTCCAGGATGGAAACCTTACCTCAGCATCTCTGGATGCTCTAATCCAGCATCTGATACCTACCACTGATTACTACCCTGAAGTAAGCAATTCACAGTATAATAAACAGTTTAATTTTGATGAATTGGGGCAGCACTTTATGCAAAAGTGCAAATGTGTTAAATTTTGAATTAAGAGGGCTAATTTAAAAGCTGCATACAATTAAAGCTTGGTAAATTGTTGCATTGCTTTAAATGCTGTTTCACTGCTCCATAATTGTTCCTATGAAAAAGCAGATCCCAAACTTGATACTGCCTTTCAGTAAGAAAATGGGGTTGGGGGGAAAGCTGTTGTGGTGATGAATTAGTGATATAGCAGTTGGTGTGCTTCAGAAATAGCAATGCATCCCAGAAAGGTTTAGATGAAGACTGAAGCAAAAAACTTCAAGTCTGAACTGGCATTAAATGAGCTGAATTTCAGTAGCTGCTGAAGTCATCCAGGTTTGCATGTACAAAGCATTCCCTCAGTGACAACAGAGATACTCCTTCTGATGGGTTTATAATTTACCTGGGGTTATATTCACACCAACTGTGCAGTCACTGGACAGCACAGTCCAAATCCTAATCCTTGCTCTATCAGTGAATATGCAGTGTTTCTTCACCAACAGTGTGAGGACCTGAACTGGAAGCAGGTTTATGATCCTGCAGGCCATTGACTTCACTGGATTTTACACATCTCCAGTGGAATTCAGAACGGGGTTTGACTGGAAGACTTTAAAGTGTTAATATATCTCTGTGGAAAGGCTTGTATTTCAAAGCACAGAGTAGCATTGACTTCTGGGCAGTTTAGAAAACTGAGAAAGTTATCAATGCAGAGCAGACAGCATGTTTTAAATTACCTGCAGCTTGGCTTCTGATCAGCTAAAAATGAGTAATAAAGAAGCATATCTATTAAAAAAAAAAAAAAAAAAAAGAACAGAAAGGCAATACAAATAGGTAATGGACAGATTAGGCTGTGAGATTTTCATTAAGCAATATGTGATATGTAATATTATACCTGCTGCTCAGGAACATGGCTAGGTCTGGGAGAAAGAAGATAATTCGGGCGCCAGGAGGGGTCAGAATGCAAACAACTGAGGATTCATGAATATATTTTAAATTCACTGCTGAAATACTTTTAAAAATCTAAGGATTTAACCAACAGGCCTGCTTCCCACAGCTTCACAGATGTGGGACTGCATATGATATGGTTTGGCTGATAGAAATTAATTTGGGGGAGTTAATAAAATAAGTGAAATATTCCTTAAAACAAGATGGGTGAGACCTGCAGGGCTATAGCGAGATGTAGCTAATCTGAGGGCGTCTGCAGCTCACAACCCAGTACAACACAGAGATGCCTGAGTGTCTACATGTTTAGCTTTCACTGGCCTCCATGCAGCCCTGGTTGTGCTGTCTCCTATACCTGGGCTCGCTCCTGTAGAATGCCCTGCACACTGTCTTCACTGGATGCTTGCACAGGGTTTGAGCAACCAAAGGCTGGATGTGCTGCCTCCTGCACCCACTGTAACCGGTTCCATTTTCTGGGTCAGGAATCTTTATGTCTTGGACATAAAGATCTGTCCCAGTGGAAGTATAAAAACTGTGGAATTTGGGGCTTTTATGGCTAGTATTATCCACTTTGCAGCTCTTACAGCAGGTCTGCTTGTCTTTCTCCCACAGAAAGCCTATATCTTTACATTCCTGCTGAGTTCCAGACTCTTCATCGAACCCCATGAGCTTTTGTCCCAAGTTTGTCACAAGTGCATTGAGCAACAGCGGCTGGACGACCCTGTGCTGGACAAGGTTAGTTTATCTTCACAAGAGAAAAATGTGAGGTATTTTCAATGGGCAGAGAATTCTGGGGCTCTGGTGTTTGTCCTTTGCCTCCCTTTGGATTGAATGAAACTTTCTCATAAAAGATGACAATTGCTGCTGAGATCCAGACATTGAGGCATCCTAGTATCCCTATCCAAGAGCAGTGCTCCAGGCACTAGTCACTTCAAATCTTCTGCCAATTTTCCCTTTCCCCTGTCTCAGTCTTCCCAGGTGACTTTCCTTCTTAACCTCTTCAAGGCTCTGATGAAGCCTGAGAGATGCAAGGAGATAGGATGTAAACCTCACACACTGTCAGCTGCAGATGCCGACACACCACTCTCTTCCCCATTTTCACTTAATGCGTCTGCCCTTTTGCTTCCTTGCTTTTGGTACAGTAATATTTCCTCTTGGCCTTACCTGTCACTTTGAACACTGTGTAACAGCATGCAGCTACCTGCTAACCTCCCGTTGCCGGCACTGACAGATCGCCCGCATGGCTGTGCTGCAGAGCTGCGCTGGCTGGCACAGCAGGAATGAGTTGAAGCAGAAGTGAGGCTCTGACAAGCTAACAGAATGAGAAGAGGCAAGCTGTTACTGCGTCGGCACTCCTTGTTTTGCTCTAGGGACTGTGCAGACTGATACAGTGTGTAACAACGCATGTGCATCCTCTGGCAAGTCCCACAGACGCTGCAGTGGAGATGGATCCCGCTGGATCTTAATCCGTGCTGGATTCCACCCAAGCTCTCCTCAGTGCATGGATGAAGACCTATCCAGTACATTACCTGGAGCAAGAGATGCATCTTCAGTGCAGTGGAGCAGAGAACATGTATTAGCTGCAACTTTCCAAAATCCCTAAAATTCTGAAATGATTCTCAAGATCAGCCTTTCCAGTTTTGAAGCAGTATTTTTGGCATGAAATACTCAATCACCAACGTCTGAACACGTGTGCTTGTTTTTGCCCAGGCAACTGGTTGCATGAGTAACAGGAGCTCTGCCTGCACTGTGGAGAGCAATCAGCCAGACTGTGTAGAAATCTGATACTGGGGTTGTCCATAGTCAGTGTTAATAGAAATATCCGTATGAGGTGCACCATAAAAAACAATTTTTCGAAGGCGTGATGGGTTCTGTTCTTTGATGTGATGGCAGATGCAATTTAAGAGGATTAAAATGTGAGCATTGTGAAGTGTCACTGCTCATTAAACTTTGCAGGAAATGAGAAACGTTGTTTTATAATGAAGAACTCCCAGTCTGCCTGAAGTGAATCTGCATTTTGGACTGGCCTGTAGTAACACAGAGTTGGTGGGACACAGCTGATTTTGTGTTCCTGAGACTAGGGCTGACGTTGACACTTTGCACACAAGTGACCTCCCATCCCCTGTGTCTTGTGACTTGCACAAAGTCCTCTCCTTCAATTCATAATAGCAGTTTACACAGCTGGAGCAAATGTCTCCCCAGACCTTTGTAGTTTCCAATAAAGCTTTCCCTTTAGCAGCCACCTGCTGGTCTTTGAGCGTGAGCTTAATGCTAGCTGACAGCAGTTATTTTTAGAGATGTGGTTCATTGAAACCTGTTGTTGGTGGAAAGCTGAAATATGCATTTTAACCACCTTGGTTGAAAAGCAGAGAGCTGTGGAGCTCGAGAGTATAATTTTTCCTGATTACAGGGTACACTTTAGGTACAGTACGTAGGATGCAGAAGAAGGCTGTTTGTTTTGGTCTGTGTTTTCTGTAAATAAAAATGCAGTTTGTTGTTTAGCGCAATTTCCTTTTCACATGTTCTTGGATAACAGAGGATGAAAGCTTTGGAAGCAGCATCACTGGCTGTCTTTTGAAATAACACTAATGCACCAATTGTGCCTTTCCCCATATTTCTTTCCTTGCCCCATATCTTCCTGATTATTCATACTGCTACATCCTCAGATAAATCTACACCAAAAGTAATGTGGGCATCAGCTGTGTGTTTTGTGAGTGGGTGTCCTTGTCCTATCATGACCTTGAGTTCATGTGGGAAGAGAGCAACATTATCAGTAACCCAGGTAATGTTACTAAAGTGCTGGTGTTTTGTCCATCTTTTCTTCCTCATGTTACAATAGCCACTGGTCGCTAAGCAGTTTTTTCATACAGCTAGAAAGCAAAGAAGCAAAAATCTCCTCTTTGTTGGTCAAGAAATACATTCCAATCAATTTTTCAGGGATGGATGAAAATATAGGAGGGTTATAAGTACAAAAGGGAGGAACGTATGGTTCAAATTGGCAAAAGGCCAGATATTTTTAAAAAAGGTATAAAGGTTGTACCAACAAAATGTCTGTCCAACCATAAACTGTCCAGTTGCATGTGCAGAATACTTATATCTGCATGTAAAACAGGCAGTTGTGCATGCATCTAAGTTCTGGTATATTTTGCATGCCAAAATGTATCATTTGTGCACCACACTATCTGTTTGCATGTGTGCAGTTTTTGCAGGTGCAACCATAAGTTCCTTCTTTGAAAATCTGGCCCTGCATTCAGTGACATATATATTTGCTGGGAGACTTTAATGAGTAAACACATTTCAATGGCTGTACATCATTCTGGTTTCCGTTTCAGGCTCGGATCAGAAAGTTTGGACCCAAAATCTTACAGTTGCTGACAGAGTGGACAGAGACATTCCCATATGACTTTCAGGAAGAGCGGATGATTGGCCATCTGAAAGACATGATTCACAGGATAGCCCCGTGTGATGAGGTGAGGATGTCTGACCTGGGATGTTGCGTGGAGATGTTAAGTTCATTTTCCCAATTGGTTCCTCCTTTCCCTCCTTTTGCCACATTCTGTTCCATGCCTCTTCATGGACACTCTCACAGTTTTGTTCTCCTCTGGTGGTTAAAACCTGTAGTAGCTTCCCTGGAAGCCTCATCTCTCAGTTTAGGTACTCCTGTGGCAGTGACATGGGGACACATTGGAGTGATCAGTGGAATTTATCTGTTGTAAGATAGTAACATTCCTGTTTTACAGACAGAAGATCTGAAGGCATAGCATAGACTGAATGTGGTGGTCACAATTCAGATAGCAACAGAGCTGTGATCTCCCAAGTTATAGTCTAGCAGAGGAGTGAAGTATCATGGCCTGAGACCAACCATCCTGGCCAAGCAGTGGCTCAAAGAGCGCTCCAGGATGTTTAGTTTAGTAAATGAGGAGTAGAGCAAAGCAGACAGTTACCAAGTGATTGCATTGGGGACCTAAAAAAGATCCTCAGTTGTCTGAAAGTACCTGATGAAGTCTTCCTTTCTCTAAAGGCATTTATGGTTCTTTTTTGTCTCACTTTCTCCATTTGCTTATGCCCTTCATCACCTGTGCTGAAATCTAATTTTCCATTCCTTACTTTACATATCTTCAGTTCGGTAAGTTTTTGAAACAATCTTTGCATTTTGTCATTTTTTTCATTAGTGAATCTACGAAGGGTTTGGCTTACTCCTTCCTGTCCTGTGTAAAAAGACTTCACAGGCCCTATGCTCAAGCCGGCTGCTGTTGCAAAGCAGGGACCCAGACAGGAGGCGAGCAGACACAGAGCAGCAGACCCAGTTTGACTAATGCTGCTGGAATCCCCATCAAAGTTCACAGGATCTATGGGTTGTGATACCTCCTGTTGAATCCAACCCGTTTGGCTGATATGGTGGCATAGGAAGGGACTCCTTCTATTTAGAGAAAATACAAATATTTATGGACATGTAACTTCTCTGGGAGCATGAAAGTGGCAGAAGACAGCAGTGTGTGGCCTGCTGGGCAGAAACTCAGGCTAGATGGCTGTATGGTCTTGGTGTTCAAATGTGTGAGCCATGTGTGCAGCAGAGTATGACACAGTGAACGGAGTCTCTGGGAGACCTGTTTGCAAATTCAGGTGGGTGAACCCCATAAATTAATTCAGAAACATTAAAAATACCACAAAGTCCATGAAAATAATAAGGATAAGAGCAAATAGTACATAGAGAGTCTGTAATTACCTCTAGATTAACCATGGGATGTGGAGGAATTCAGTTCCATTGGCTACATCAAGGCCTGGCTTCAGGCTGCAGATGGGTGCAATTCAGTAGAACAAGCACATACCCGTGAGTCTGAGAAAGAGAGGGGTGGAGAGAAGAGGGCAGGAATTAGCAGGATTGCAGCTCAACAGAAGTTAAATTGGACCCTCCTATACACATGAAACATAAGAGAAATGGAAACAGCTGCACTTGGGCTGGGCTGGCATCATGGCTGGCACTTTTAGGGCATCTGTAGGCTGGCATGGATCAGCTGGCTGGGCTGGCCAGCCCGTAGGAGAGGAGGGGTGTGGAGGGGAAGCTGCGTGACACTTTGATGGAGGTGAAGGGAAAACAAAGGACTTTCAGAAAGAGCCAGGGTGACCTTGATTCCATTGACCAGAACAGTAAAACTTCTCTCTCAAGGGGAAGAGGCAATGACCTTGCTCCTTCCAGCCACCAAGAGAGATGCCTTGCAGCCCTTTGGCATCTCAAGTGAGAGAAACCCATACAGACCCACCAGAATCACATCCATGGGAAAGAAGGACCCAGCCAAAAGAGCAGAGAACAGGGGCTTTGTGGGTGCTCTTTAAAGGCAGTAGCAGTCCTGGTGAAGAGCCATAAATGCTAAAAATCAACATTTTGCATACAAAGCAATAGTTTATTTGCCCAACCTGAGTAAGCACTGTACACCTTTGCTCTGGAGCACACATAGCTGTATGTCAGTGCTCGTGGGCATCCTGGGGGGCCTCAGACTAGATTAGGTTCAAATCACTGTTTTTTAAATATTACTAGGCACTGTGTCCTGGTTTTGGACAGTCACTCGTGCCTGAGCAAAAACAATAATTAATTTAAGAAACAGCTTATATCCTACAAATGCAAATTTCCTTTTTTAAGGGACAGCATGGAAGAGTGGTGGTGCCTGTTAGTTGTTAGGAAGAAAGTTGTTCCTGTTGTGAATCACAGAAATTAAAGATTGAAAGATTTGTGGGATCACCTAGTCCATGTAGGTCAATACAGGATTTTCCTCTGCAGTGTATGCTCCTGTCCTTGTAGAGTCCACTTTCTAAAGGCTCTGTGATGTGCTTATAAAGGTGTCCATGCTGAGAAGCATTTCTTAGTAAGTGCTGTGATTTGCATTTAGAGTTAGAAATTTTAATTAAAATTTGAGCTCCTAAGCCACCTGCTGAGGCCTGCTGTCTTCAGAGGAACTTTCCCAGTTAAGAACGAAACATTTTCTTTAAATATTAAACAGTAGTATGCTTCTTTTGACTGTTAATGTGGCAATGAAGTGAAATCGGTTGAGAGAGTCCAGCATGCAGCCCCCGTGCAATGGGGGGTCACTTTGTGGCAAGATAATTACCAGCATGTTGAAGGTAATGAACAATGTTGTTTTCACTTAGTGAACATAGTTTAAAAGCAGGAAATGCTTTTAAAAGGGCAAAAACAGGAATTATTTTTTTTTTTTCCCCCAACATGCACAGAAGAGCTTTCTAGGCAAGGATGCACCCAACTGATTTTCAGTGAGTCTCTTCAAGACTTCTAATTTCTGAACAATTTTTTGTGTCCATTAAGTGTGTCTCTTATTTCATTCTTTATTAGGTGGCTGGCTTACCTGAGTACTTGATTATTATTGTCTATATCTATATTTTTGTGTCATATTCCCTACAAAACTAGGTGAAACTAAATCTCTTGATAAGGATTTGTTGAAAGACTGGCTGATATGCATGTCTTTCAAGGAATTTTATGCTACTTTTTGGCTTTTCATCCAAACAGTGAAAGATTTGATACTGCATAGACATGGCTGGTCCAAGCTTTTCTCATGCAAACTCCTTTTTGAAAGAGAACTGGGTTTTCAGCTAAAAGGTTTTTGGCCAAATGTTTTATGTTCATTAAAAAACTTGGATTTCAGTGCTGTTCCTGTCCCCCACCCCTCCAAAATTAATTTCCCTGTTTATAAAATATGTTCACAAAATACCATATATGTTGCTATTTGAGTTTCAACTGAAAAATAACATTCTATTCATAAGGCTTCATAAGCTATACTGGGGTTTGCAAACACACCTGGATGTAAACCAGAGAAATATTAAGATGGTGGTCAGTCATTTGGGTCCAGGACAGTCTTTGTAAATCAAAAGTGTGCCCATCTGTTTGAATGAGGAATTACATGAAGAAGGCCAGTAGTCTCTCTTCCTTGGAACTAGTGCACATCAGGAACAGATAAAAATTGAAAGAATGGGGTTTTACTTTCTAAAAATTCTTTCTTTTTTTTTTCACCTTCCTTACTCAATTTTCACTCCTCCCGTGTGATTTGTTTCCAAATAGAACATGTGTTGTCATTCTTCAAGACAAGTCCCTCCTGCCTTGTAGGTACTTGTTTCATTTCAGAATTATCAGCTCTATTTGTCAAAAAACCCAGACTACATCCTGCTTATCTGGCCCATGTTCCAGCCTAACTCATCTTCCTTAAGGGAAATGAGAGGTTCCTCAGCAATGTGAAACTTTCTGCGTGAAAGATACAAAGTGTTGCAGCAAAAGTTGAAGCACTTGGGTTCAACTAAAGGTTTCCAGCCTCAAACTGTAATGCAAACAGGGTAGATGTAAGCATGTTTTTCTTCATTGTGAAGTAGTAGTAGATGCTACTTCCAGCGTGCAGATGGGATCCTGTGTAGATGAGAAGAACACTGACTCTGGCTTCTGGTATCTTGAACATCTGAAACGTGAGTGCTGTTAATGCTTGACACTGAAGATTATCCACAGTCAACGAAAGTCTGAAGAAGACAACGGCTGGATCTAAACCACGGGATTCAGGAGTACTTCCTGAGACTTCACTTGGGCTGTGTCCAGCTTGGGATGTGACACAGGTGTGTGTTGGTCTTCATGGGAAGGCACAATCTGGCCAACTCCCTGCTGCGATGATGAGGGCTGCGTGGAGGGTGCCAGGGTGCACATCTGCTGCGCAGTACAGATGTAACAGAAGAGGGCTCCTTGCCAGCTCTGGTTTCACACTGACAGATTACAAACTGATGTTACTGGCAACTTGATGTTACTAAATTCTGTTTGGATGGGGCATGAGGAATTATTCCACTTGTGAGCAGCCAGAGGATCTCTCCACTGCGTGTCTTCATGCTGGAAGGGGAGCTGGTAGTAGGCCAGCCTGTGAACTCTTTTCCCAAGTGACTGTTGAAGGCATTTCTTTCTGCCCATTCTTCATGGCCAGTGGTTCCACTTACTGTCTGTAAAGAGCTATTCCAGCTCTGAGAACAACCTGAGCAACTTAGTAATGATCATCCTGCTGAGCACATGGCTGTGCTTGGAATATGATATGATCTTCCTTCAGTAGCAATTAATATTTTGGATATTAAATACTCAAAGCTACACGATGCTCAGACCACTCCAAGTGGGTAGCAAGCAGCAGTATGCTTCTTCTGCTTTCAGCTCAAAAGAATTGAGAGAATAGCATTAGAAACATGTTTTATTCCTAATAAATAAGAGTTGACTAGGCACCACTAGTAGGTAGAGTTCTCGGCCAACACGTAGCTGACATAAAGGATAGGTACTGAATGCTGATGTGCTCCAGAAAGCTGCAGTAACTCATGTTGTAGCATTACCTCTCCTCTGATTCTGATGTTGGCAGGAATATGTGAGTATCAGTGCCAGCACAACCCACCAGTCCTGCCTGCCTCTTCTCCTGACTGCAGTCTGTTTCTGTGGTCCAGAGCACAGAACTGTAATTAAGCCAACCGGTTATTCTGAAATAGGTTTGTTGAAAATAAAATGGTAACCTGTTGGTGGCTTAGGAGCATTTTGCAGAAGGGAGAATTCAGCATAAAAACACTCCTTTGTCAAGTTTTGTCAGTGGTTTATGTTTCTTTCTATCCCTGTCTCTCCAGGCCTACTGGAAAAAGATGAATCAGCTTTTGCAAACCCTGAATCAGAAGCTTGCAACCCTCAGCCATGGGCAAGAAGGGATTGTCAAGATCAGTGCTGCTGTCTCTGATAAGCTGGTTGCCTTTAAAAGTAAGCCTCCATCAATTCAGAGAGAAATCCTGAGCGTCTGCAGTGACCCTTACACTCTGGCTCAGCAGCTGACACATGTGGAGCTGGTAAGTGGGAATGGTTCCCAACTTCTGCAGTCAGAGATATTATTTTAAGCTATCAGCTGCTAAGTATTCCAGACACAACCAAAAAATGTCTGCACTGCTGCAGCACATCCTGTGCTGTATCAGCACTGCAGCAGGAGGCAGGGTTTCACAGGTTAAGAGATGCTTGGAAGCAAGCTATATATCAGAGTGTTCCTGTGCATCTTGGGATGGGTCACTTTACTTTTTCAGCTTGCTTATTTGTGAAATGCAAGGCATAGTCCCAGGAAGGTCAAGGCGTTCTCACTTCTGTAAGGTTCTGTGAGCATCACAACCTGAAGGTGCTATTGAAATGGCTGGTCATTAGCCCTTTTATTAATTTGGAAGAAATATTAACAGTTCAAATCCATTCCCATGGATACACAAAGCATCTGAGTTGTCTGATGTGTTTTTCATTCTTCCCTTTGGGACTTTGTGCATGAACATACAAGGGTGTGCGAATATCACCCGCACAAAGACCTGCTGTTTCCCTCATTGGACTGCAGTCCACTCTCAAACAGGCTTTTGATGGTAATCGTTCCCGTTGCAGTACCTGGACAGATGTGTTGCACACCCTTCTCCCAGGTTCAGGTCCTCATATAGAGCTCCTGGATGTTCAAATAAGAATGTAAAACATTGCTGCCATCTGCAGATCTCTTGATGCTGTAATGATTCCCTGCTGCCTGTCCTCCTGTAGACAGTGTTCATCCTTGAGAGGAAGTCTGGAAAAACAAACCATGAAATAGAATGTGGATTGGAGTGAATATCATGGAATTAGCTTTAGGAATTCTGAAGGTAGTTGATAGTCTGTTTGTCAAGAAGTCAAATAGCTCAGAAACCCCAAATTTAGGATCATCTCACCTTGGTTAGTTTTCAGAACATGCAACTTTGTCTCTCTTTGCTTTATATAGCTTAAGCCAGAAAAAGTCCTTTTGCCTGGAGTTTTTCTCTCGTATTTCTTTTCCTCCACAGTACAGCTGTCTTCCAAGGGGAGATCCCCTGTAACTGGAGCACTGCTGCACTTTTAAAACTGATGCAGCCAGAAGTTTTCATTCCTGTCATCATTTTCATGTCTGTCATCATTGGTTTCTACCTTCTCTTTCACTTACTGCATCTGGTACACCAACTACTCTGCACTAAAACTGTCTGATGCTTATTTGTTAGTAAGAATTATTTGCTACTTATTTAATAAGTTACTTGTTAGTAAGCGTCCTGTACAGTTATCAGTGGCAAGGTGAGAAGCCAAGAGAAATAGCATGGGAGTAGCCATAAAATTTTCATGTAAGCAAAACTACTGTTGATTTTACTGTTCTTTGAGTGTCCTAAGTTTGGGCTGTAGGAATTCCAAAATACCTCTTCTGAAATACCTTTATGACCTGCAACCTATTGAAAGTATTTTTTTAAATAAACACGTTTATGAGAATGGAAAAGCCTATTAAGAAGGACAGCGGTGTGGCTGGAAGTGCCAGATTTGTTCAGGAGCTGGCCTGTCTTTTATTAAGAGAGATTTGAATGCTTTATTTACTCTTGTTTTGGTGTCAGGGACACTCTACAGTGTAAGCAATGCCTTTAATGTAAGCACATGTATCTTCAGTGCTTTCCTTCCCCGGTGGCAGAGAGACACCACCCCAGGGCATCACCTGGGCTTCACGGGGTAGGGAGGCAGGGTCAGAGCACTGTGTGTGCAGATGAGCAACGGATTGCTGTGGTTGCCAGATCACAGCATTACTGCCGTTTAACAGCTGGGAAACAAGGCTATTGAGTAATGCTGGACCACAGCAGGTCTGTGGCAATGCCAAGCACAGAACTGAGGTCTGCTGGCTCCCAGACGGGGCCTTGTGCAGCCAGCACCTTTCTCTGCGCAGTGGAGAGAGCTCTTACTGTGGCTTGTCAGTAATGAGACATATTTATTCTCATTTTCTTCTTTTTGCTGAAATAACTCTAATTGTTCTTACAAATGTTAATGTCTGGTGCTATTTGGCTGTCTGCCAGTTCAGTAACACCATTCAGAGCTGACAGATAATGGGGATGTCTTGCCAAGAGAAACAGAAGAGATTTTGGGGTGCTTTCTTATTTCCCTCTCTCCCTCTTTTTTCCCCCTTCTAATAGGAAAGGCTAAGTCACATTGGACCTGAGGAGTTTGTGCAGGCATTTGTACATAAAGACCCTCTGGATGGCACCAAGGTATGATTTGTCCGCATGCAGTGTCTCCTGCAATCTGCTTGTTCTAGATGAACTGGTGTGATGAGATCCATAAGAGCAGGGCCTGGGACATGCGTTGACCATGGCCAGGCCAACCAATGACCTGTATTGTCATGGCAAGGATGGGACCTGTCGGTAGAGCTTGCACTGGCAGGTCATTGCCATTCCTTCCTGGTGAGAGTACGTCCTAGCCTGAGACTGGCCAGCACCCTGATGTTCTGCTTTCTGGCTCGTTCCTCCTAACCTGCTTTGACCAGGGCAGACGGCTTGCGGCTGTACACAACCAGGGAATGTCTGTTCCCAGCACTGAAGGCGTAAAGATTCTGAATGTGATGTAATGCCCATAGTGTGTGCCCAGACACCACAGTAATGAGTCAGTGTGCCATGAATCAACATACTCTTCTCTCTCTACACAATAACGTTTAACCCAAAGCACCACAGGGAATGGTGTGCTGATCAGGGCTTCATCCAAAGCCCGTGGAAGCCAGTTGGAATCTTTCCACTGATTCCAGCGGGGTTTGAAGCAGCATTTCAGTGAGTGCCTCAATAAGAGACTTCCTGTCTGGAGAGGCAGTGTCGGAGGCTTCACATACTGCCAGAAAGAAAGAGGGTGGAAAATTCTTCCCCAGAACTGCATATATGGACTCCCACTGAGATCATAAATCAATGGCAGAATTTCATCATTGGATGCTGAACATAACAGGAAGACCTCTGTTTATAGTACTGTCCAAAGAGCACCAGAATGGCTTGCAAGGATGGATGGATGGATGGATGGATGGATAAAAAGTGCAACTTTGGGCTCTTTCCTTCTCTTACTGGAGTTATGGAGATTCTGCAGTTGGTTTTGGGAAGAGGGGAGTGGGCAGAGCTGGTGTTTCAGGTATCCTGAACATTGATCACATCCTTTAGGAAGGAACCCCAAAGTAACAAAGATGTGTCTGAAATATGAAATATCAGACCAGCCACAGTGAGATTTCAGCAACCTGCTGCAAACATGAGGGACAAGACTGAAAATAAATAGTCATCATTATCTGTATCAAAGTAAAATGAAAGAGTTCAAATGAGGGCACTAAATCTGAGTGAATTTGGGAAGCGTGAGAGACAGACAGTAGTGAGTGAAATCAACTTATATAAAACCGTAGAGGGAGAGGGATGCTAAGAGGAAGAAGGAAATGTTCAGTAATAAACTAATGTATGCACAACGACTGAAACTGTGTCTAGAATTGCAAATGCAGGGCCAGCACAGAATACCACAAAGATGTGAAGAGAAATTGAGGTTACCAAGTAAACATAAGGAAACATCAGCTAAGGTGGATGGGAAGGGTTAGAATGAGAGGCAGAGAGCCTGAAAATAATGGCAGGATGGGAAATCCGAGCAAATCATCTTGACAGACTATGTATGATAAACTACCTGACAGTTATGCATGTTCTTCAAATGCAAATCTGAACGCTGAGGTGCTGCCCAGTAACAGTTCTGTGACTTCAGTGAAGTGCATTATAACAGAGAAAATAACAGGCGTAAAGCAGGAATGCACCACTGCGTTGCCTTTAAGTTCAAGGCAGTGTCTTCCCCCAGGAGGATCTACTTAGTTAAAGCAGAACAGCCGTAACATTTTCACACAAGACATGACACTAACAAATTATTGGGCTTCAAGTCAGCAAGGCTGATGAAAGCAGAGCTAGTCTGGAACTTTTCTCCACCCTTTGCCTGGGCTGAGCAGAGGTCCCAGTGATGATTTAGAGGAGCCTCCGTACCATGGTAAGGTATAGCCAGGGGATTGTGTGGGACCTGGCAGAACACTGTGCATAGCGGCACAAACCTTATGTGGAGTGTTGTATCATCCCCTGAGCCATGGAGAGCACCCCTGTTAACCACAGGGAATTGGGTCTGATCTGAATCCTCTCCAGCTGGAGATCATATTAAACATCTTTCTTGCGTGAGGGCTTCAAAAGGCTTCACTTATGAATGTTTATCAAGCACTCTGAGTTGCAGATGGAAGATGCTAGGGAGGTGCTAAATATTGTTGCCATTTATAAAGCTTAACCTTTAAAAAGCAGTCTGTTTCAACTTTAACAGTTGCACATTTTTCACAAGTTTTGTGGTATTAGCTGTGGTTCTTATGCCCTGGCACAGGACAGTAGTGTTGAGATGGAAATACCATACTCGGAACAAAACCTAGATTTTGTGTATTTTTTGCTATAACAAGGAACAAGAAATACTACAGAGTGCAAGAAAAGCAACTGCTATTGCTAGACAGGGGTTTCTTTGGGTTTCCTTTGTTTTGTTTGATACTTACAGGCTACTTGCTGACATTTACTTTTGAGATGCATTAAATATATTTTTTATTATATATTTGGTCTATTCATGAAGTGGGTAGGAATTTCAGGCTTGTTAAGATGTGCTTCTTACCGTGGTACTGTGATTTCTGTTTCTAAACACACCTGTATACAGAATCACAGGTGAATATTTTCTTACTTTGAATTACCTTGGGAATCATGTTAAGCCCCATTTTTAAAGGGGTTTTAGTCCATTGTTTAGCTTACATAATATGGGTAACCCCATTAACGGATCTGTGTTTGTGCATTGTGATTTCCTTCTTAGTGGCATGTATTTATGGTAGCTTTGGGAAATAATCATCTTAATAAAACAAAAAAAATCAGTATTCTCTGATACCCTCTAGTGGATGTTAATGAATGTTCAGATCAATCACTTGAACTCCAGAGAGTAATGTGTCCTAGATGGACAGTCTAAGAATTTAGAGCTGGGAAAAAGACTTGAATTCTCATAATCCCAAGCAACATCTTCAGGCTGTGTGAACTGCCCTGTCACTCCGCTAAAGTCAAATTTTCCGGTGATGTCAAAGGAACTGGAAGAGTTCAGCCAAGTATCTGCGCCCACAGCCTGTATCAGTTATGGGAATTTATGTTAAGTTCTATATAAAAAAGTGAAAAATGTGCTTCTTGTAACAGCTTTTATCAGTGAAGTATCCCTGGTGTGTAAGTGCCTGTTCAAGAGCAGCCATCAAGGCAGAGCTGGTCACTAGAGAGCCTGTTACCCTGAAAACTCAATAAGGGAAATTTTTTTTTTTCCATAAAGAGGCAACTAGAACTGCATTTTCTCTTGCTTGTCTCTTATTCACTTCACTAAATTCTGGTCTCTCCCCTCCAGAAAAGGGCTGTGGGTGATTGCATTTACTGAAGTGAAGGAAGTCCTGTAATCAAAACCACAAACTGTGAGCTTGCTGTGGAAGACTGTGCTTGTCTTACTTTCTCTGCATATTCTTGTTGCTGTCTGAACCCTGCAATGCCCTGGCTGTTGATATCCCAGCGAACAAGGGCCAGTGCAGACTATGTCAGTGAACATGTGCTGCAGGAAAAATAGGGCTGTTTTCTATATACTAGTGTGAACTGTGCAGTGTCACAGACTCAGCTAGAGCTTGTGCATCTGCCAGCCACCCACCGACCCACTGACTTTTTCAAGGGGGCCCTTAATGCACAGTCTTCCATGTGCATGAGAGAGACATGGGCAATAATTACCTTTGTGTAGTACTTATCTTAGCGATCAGGCAGCTAACTGAAGCACAGTTCTATGTCTTTCTGTGCTTTTCTCTCCCCAGACTTGTTTCAGTGAACAGAAGAAGACGAGTAACCTTGAGGCCTATGTGAAGTGGTTCAATAGACTCTGCTATCTTGTAGCAACAGAAATTTGCATGGTAAGTGAAAAGCATGTGGCATGTTTTACCACATGCCTGAAGCACCAGTTTGAGATAGTAAATTAATAAGCGCAAACCTTGGATATTTATTTCTTATGACCTAGCTAAGCATCTGATGGTAAGTTTTAGTAATATTATGCTTGCAGAAGTGACCTGATAAATGACAAACATATTGCAAAACAGAGCTGGCAATACGGGGGATACCCTGTTCTCTTGATGTAGTAGCAGCACAGTGTGGAATAATGAACCCTGCAGGGAAAAAGAGAGGAAAAAATGCTTTGAATTATCCTGTGAGATTTCTGCTGGAAAAGATTCTAGCGGAGTAGTATTTGTTATCTGTCATCCTAAAGCTCTGTTGTGCTTGTGAATTCCCATTGCATGCCTCTTTGTCCTGCTGCCCATTACTGTAGCTGTGACTAGTGGTTTTTTAACTTGGTAGTGGTTTTAGTTTGTTTAACTTGTCCCCATCAAAATGAAATGTTTTCTCCTTTGAAAAGGGTGTGGAAGGAAGCAATGGTGATAGTATAAACATCCTAGATAGCCTGTGACTCAAAAGCATTACTACTTGAAGATCATCTTTGGAAAAGCTGGAGTGATTCCAGTCCAATTAAAAAGTGTATTTAAAATGCAAGCTACCATTTGGCCTGGCCATATTGCTGAAAGGGCCAGAAAAGGGGAAGGGGATTAATGCAGTGAAACAAAGTCTTTCTGGGAGAAAGATGCTGCTGTTATATGGGTGTGAAATCCTGCCCTTAGCAAAGTCTGTGCTGATGTGCCTGCTGACTTGAGGGAGGCCAGCAGGGAGCTGAGGCACTGCCTCAGGGCTGTTTAGGCTGCCTGGTCCAGTGCTAAGACATTAACTGGGGTGAGCCAGGGAATTGCCATGAATTTCTTCTGTGTCACTGCAATGAAAGCTTTGATTCCAGCAACTGCCAGTCACCAGCATCCACTGGATTGTTGGAACAAAATTAGGGCCAGTGACTTGATAGCAGATGGCGCAAGCTGTGCATGGACCTTCACAGTATATGGAACAAATACCTAAGGTGCCCTGCAATTCTAAATATGCTTATTACAGATACTCATTTATTTTAATTTGCAGCCTGCAAAAAAGAAACAGCGAGCACAAGTCATCGAATTCTTCATTGATGTTGCCCGAGAGTGCTTTAACATAGGGAATTTTAATTCACTGATGGCAATCATTTGTAAGTACAGCTTCTAACCAGGTCTCTCCATCAGCTATCACAGATTAAAGAGGAAACCCAACTCTTATCCATGGCTCTCTTGCTTTCTTTTTTCTTACTCGTAGCTGGAATGAACATGAGTCCAGTTTCCAGGCTAAAGAAGACGTGGTCAAAAGTGAAAACAGCCAAATTTTTCATTCTTGAGGTAAAGAAAAGAAAGAAAAGTGCTCATACACTGCTTGAATTACATTCTGGATTTTTTTTATTTGTGAATTTTCACATTGTTATCCAGGTATGAGATGTTTGCAAATATGTTTCACAGGCAGAGAGCTGGAATCTGGTGAAGTTTCCCAGGTATAGTGAGGAAGATGTGAAGCTGATGATATGTAGAGGGGAATCAGAGCACTCAAATAAATTGGAGGAGGAAAAAAATTAAAAATATGAGCCTATATGCAAGCCGTAGTGCTTCCACTGATGTCAGTTTTGTTTGGCCACAAACACAATGCTGAGTGTAAAGCTCCCAAGCTATACCTGGGATGTTGAGTGAGTGAGGCCCAAGATGGTTTTTTGTACTGAGGATTCCAGGTTTTATCATATATAAAAGCTCAGTAAGCTGTTACTAGAAAAATCAAAGGTTCAAACAGTAATCGTCTGTAGATCTCTGATTTTATCTTTGCTTCATGGGTTTTTGTGTGTATGTGGATTTTTGAAGATTTATAGGCTAGGCTCTGTTCATGGTTTGCTGCAACTGAGGGTAAAGTTGACTTCAAGGACCCAGGTCACCTTCTAACCAACTTATTTTCTTTTGTGTATCTAGCACCAGATGGACCCGACTGGTAACTTCTATAACTACAGAACAGCATTGCGGGGAGCTGCTCACAGATCCCTCACTGCGCACAGCAACAGGGAGAAGGTAGGGGTGACCATGTCCCATTTATCTCCAAATGGATGGTGTGCATTGCTGCTAAGAGTCACTGCCTCAAAGTCTAGATGCAAATGCTCTCCTCTCTTCCTTGGGTCACCAGTGCAAGGCTCGTGCAATGCTAAATGCAACTGGAAATGTAAATCTGTGTCTGAAATGAGTCTGAAATGGATCACAGGGCTTTTGTGGTCTTGCTTTCAGACACTGGGGAGATAGAGAGGGCAGGACACACAGCATGTAGGACTTGGTTACAAGCATCTCTATACTCCTGGAAAATTCATATTGTTGAGATTGTTAAACCTGATGGAGTAGGTATTCCAGACCAAAATGACTTTTATTTTGGTATGGAGCATCAGCCTGGCAGGCCCAGGTGGAACTGTGCTTTTGTTACAACTGTGCCAGCCAGGCCTCTGTGCAGACAAGCCTCTATTGTGTAGTGTGTGATTTGAGATAGAGCAAAGGGCACAGCACTCAGAGATGAGGTGGTTCTCCATTTACATTAGGGAAAGATGACCTACCACAGGTCCTGCAAAGAAGTCTGGTCTGAATCCGTTGCAGCAAATTAAGGGTGAAATTCTGTCCTTGTGAATTTTCATTTCATTTAGTTGTTGCTGCCATCTCAAAGAGCAAGAACTGGAGTATTTTATCAGTGTTCTTGGCAGATATGTAGCTTTCTGAGATGTCACTGATGCTGAAAAAATCAGATTGACAAGATGTGAGTGCAGGATCCTCCTGTTTTGTGCCCCAGTGTTTCCTGTTAATTTTCTTATTTCTCCAGTCAATCCTATTTTTTTTTTTTTTTGTTTTGTTTGTTTGTTTTATGAAAGAGTTTTTAACATTGCAATTGCACATAGTCATAAATAGGTAATCTCTGTGCAGACCATGCTGAGGTAAAGCAGATACTGCATGAACAAGAATAATATGGAATTTAGTATTCATTCACTAGAGGAGCCAGGCCAGATGCTAATCTCACATCCCTGTAAATTTGATGTAAATCTGCTGAAGCTAATGGAATCTCATAGCATTTACAGTGAAATGAGATCAGCTTCTGGTTGCAGGCTGACTCAGCTGCAATGGGAGTACACTGAGTTGCTCTGAAAAGCACTTCACTGTGCTTTTCACACAAGAGATGATGGCTTTGGGTGTTTGTGGCTGGCAGAGAATTTGTTTTAACTCTCACACATTGCAGAGAGGACCTGCCAGTCCGAAATGCTTCTTCAGTTTACTTCTGCAACCATCATATATGTTCAAACAAGTTGCTTTATTGTCTGACTTAATTTCCTATGGAAGTTAGCAATCTCTGTCATATATCTATCCCTAACTGGTTAAGACTGAGGGCAGAGAGGTTATTAGATTGAAAGGAATCTATTTTACATAAGAAAAAGCCCATATTCTGTTTCCCTTGTGTAGATAACATTGGTTCAAGAAAATGCTCAAGCATATGATTTGGTAGCTACTCACACTGGGTATTTTACAGTGTCATATACAGCAGCTCATGTAATTCTTGCTGTAGGAATTAAGGAATTGTGTTTCTTTTTATAAACAAGATTAACAGTCATTTGTTTTAATGAGTTTGAATAAAATTGGAAGAACGTGATCACTTTCTTGATAGAAAATGTTACGTTGTTCCTTGGCAAACTTGTAGCAAAGCTCACTCTGAAGAAAATGTTTATCTTCAAACTGAATTGTGCTTATGAGAGTTTGAGATCCCAATCCGTGCCACCCCAGAAGCACAGATGGAGGCTTCAGGCCTGGATCCATCTGCTTGAGAAGGAAGGTGCTCTGGAGGGAGTGCTTTTGTCGCAGACCAACAGACTAAGCCATGGGTTATGTTTCGCAGGAAGAAAAACTGTCTATACGCTCAGAGGAGTATATAGGAGCTAATATTTAACCGGCAGACTCGCCAGGAATGTTACTTTCTTCTCTCCTCAGGGCTGGTGTCTTCGCTGCTGACTTTTGCACAGCACTTGAACAGAAGCACAGCTCAGGGGCTAAATTATGTCCTCAGAGGGAGACAGGGTGAGCCAGTGACTGGGGACACCCCCTTTCCTTCTCCTCTGTGCACACATCTCATCCAAATCCCCCATGGGACACCACCCTTCTGGCATAGAGCACTGCCTGATTTCATCACCCTCCTCATCCTCAGGGTGCTCAGGCGAGACTGCAGCACAGGTTGTAGGAGAAGGATCTCAGTATACCCATGGAGGACCCTCTGACCTCAGTCTGCACTGTTCTGATCCAGCCCTTCTCTGTGTGTAAACGGTATAGTTGTAACTACTCATTACTTGTTCAGTAGCAGGCTTGTAAAAAGGCATGGGAAGGCAGCTCTCAAAGCTGAGAGATGCAATACAGTGGCAGAAATAAACCTGCCAAAGTGCAGGGTGAGAGAACTGGTAATGAAGAAAGGCTGGTGTTTCATGCAGAATTCAGAGGGGTGTACTTGTTAGGAACTAAGTCTCGTTTTATCTATGCAGTCAGCGGACTTATACCACCTCCAAAATTCAGTCGTTCCACTGGGAAACCCTGCATTGTGCTAATGACATGTCTCTGGTTTTGAAATGTTGGGAGTATGTACAGTGCGGTACTGTGTGTTGTTGCTGTCTGATACTATGGAGGAAGAACATGTCTGATCTCATTAGCTTTCTTCTTTCTGCAAGAGGCAATTGTCCTTCAGCATGTGGGTGGGTTGGATGGTGTGGGGGGGAATTAAAAGGGAGTGAAATATGAGTTTCTGGCACTAACCCAGAATTTATGCTAGTAAAGTGCTTGGACTGAAGCCAACATTAGAGTGTAACTATATCCATTTTTGTTGCTTTTCCTACAGAAATTTGGAAAACAAAACATACAGGGAAACATATTTTTACTGGGGAAATAAATGGTGACCCAAAGAGAGAAGTCCCCTGGAAATGTGTAGAGAATTGGTATCCTAGGGTATGTCTTTGACGCCTTTTGGATGCAGATGAGAACAAGCTCTACCCATGCTCTGAGCTCACTGGTGGCTTTGTAGCTGTATTAGTATGGCATTGAGCCCACATTCATATACCTTCCCTCTCAGCAAGGCTTTTCATTTATGTTTAGCACCACTAATGATGGTGACCTACCTCCCAGGCAGTGTGGAGCAGGGCAGAACAAGCTCGCATCTGCCTGCAAAAAATAATGTAGACAGAACTTGGCAGTAATTTCTAGCTGGGGATCAGTGTCTGGCTCCAGCTCTCTGTATCTTCCCACCTTACAAGACAACACTGGTTACAGAGTTATCATCATTTTTGTTAGAAAACAAGCCACGTAGACTGAGTTGTATTCTCTACCTCGGGTTGATTGATCCAGATTGGACATAACACACTTAGCTCAGTTTGACTAGAAATTGCTCCACCTCACCCTGATAGAAGGGCTCAGGATTTTGGGGGGTTAGGCTATGTCTTGTTTTCATTCCTACATTATAGCAGTGGGATATATCAGGATAATGCCGGTGGCTTTTGGAGTGTCACTCCAGGATTTTTAATGGCTATTTCACTGACATTACAGAGTCTTTCTATGGCTGTCCCATAAGAAAGCCAGCAGAGGAGCAGATTTTTATCAGTGTACTACATGTGGAATTTTAGCTGAAACAGAAAATGGTTTCCATTTTCACAGAAAGTGTTGGTAGTGGTTTGTAGACTCCTTGCCTCAGTGAGTGTTTTCGCATCTATGACTTGCTTGCACTCACTGTTGCATCATGAAGGCTGTAGCCTGGAAAATAACAGCTGCCAGTCCTGTTCTAGGTCCATTTCATGTCCCATTACAGCTGATGTACAGCATGAGATGGAGTAACAGGACAACATTAAATACTTAACTAAAGGATTGCTTTGTTGTCACCAGCTCCCTTGGCTGTTACTGCATGCCATGAAGGCACTTTAATTTTGGTGCACACTTAATAAGCTACAATTCAGTTAATTTACAAATAGGCCAGTGGAAACATCTGGATGCTACCATGCAGTGTGCTTTCCTTTAATTCATGGTGATTTAAGCCATTAAGAATACACTTAAAGACAGGTATTGCTGCCACAGGAAAACACTCACAGAGGTGGCTGCTGACCTTATAGCTCAACCCTCAAAGTGGCCTTTTTCTATCACAGTGTCACTGCTGGAGAATTGGGTAGACTCAGATTTGAATATTGAATCCCAGAGCCCTGGGGGTCAGCTTTGTCATGGACTGGTCCTTTGGATTATTTTTCTTTTCCCCTTGAGTTGTGACACAAGAGGACCCGAGGGAATCTGCTGCACTCTGGGTCTCTGCTGAAGTGGCGGGGATGCACTTCAGGAGCGCTGTTACTGCTTTCTGCTGTAGAACATCTGGCATCAAATTTATCCCTGCTCTAATTCCAATAATTTCAAGAGTCTTACCTAGAAGTAGACTTTTTCTGTAGCAAATTATGACCCAACTGATGGGTTAGAGAGAAGGCTTGTATCCCTGCTATATGCCACTTTACCCTGGATGATGCCCAGGTCTTATTTTGAGTATTACAATGATCTCTTTTGATACTGCTGGCAGTTTCCTGTCAACTAAATTAATATTTTCAATCCTACTATCTGCAGGTTAATTTGGAGAAGCAAGTTGTAGTAATCAGGCACCAGGAAGGAAATTACATGCCTCAAGAGGTAGCCATGCATGGACCTGTTAAAAATGAAACAGCTCCTGATTAACCGTTTGTAGACAAGTCATTGGTCATCAAATTTTATTCAGTCTTTCCTTGTTCAGGGACAATACTGATTCTTTGGTTCTCAGCTTCTTTAAATTGCTTGATTTGTGTATTCAACATCTTTGCTTATAAAGACCCAAAACAGAAGAGAAGAGTTCTGCAATTTTATTTTGCTCTTTGCTGTTTGATCTTGTCATCAGACAGTGTTGCTGTTGATAATAAACTGAGTTATTTGCATTTTATTAGTCATGTTATTCTGCTCAGTGAACACTGTGTTCAGTTCATGCTCATTTCAGCATACACTCTCCTGATGACCGAAGGTGTCTCTGTACCCTACTGCCCTTTTGCTCGCCTGGCACTGTACTGCTTTTTAAGTGTGTAGCAATCCGAAAAGTTAGTATTTCTGTTTTCTCCTTTGTCCTGATTGAGTTCTCCTTTCATGCAGAGAACATACTGAACTGGAAAGATAATAGTTATGTCATTTCTCTTCACAGATTGTGATCCCTTTCTTCAGCTTATTGATCAAAGACATTTATTTTTTGAATGAAGGATGTGCTAATCGCCTTCCAAATGGACATGTCAACTTCGAAGTAAGATCTGAAAAATGTTTTTATCTATCCCATTCTGATAGCACTATTTGAGACTGTTTGCCTGCAATTTCCATACAGACCAACAAAGACTGAATATGCCAAAACAGATGATCTCAAGTGACTGCATGAAGGTTAAACCAATACCAGGATGTTTTTTAAAAGAATTAATATGTATATTTTATATAAACATTACAAGCAGATCATCCTAACTTGTCTGATGACAGTTGGCTGCTAGAAATATAGTGTCAGCATTATAAATGACTATACTTATGGCTTGGAGGGGAAGACAATAGAAAACATGGAAAACTATTTTTCTTATGTATGTACATAAATGAGTCAGTATAAAATGCTTTATACTTTATCTGCCTTTTTAGTCCTTTCTCATTTTTAATGAAGAGGTTTGGCAGAGTAAGACATAAATTACTTGTGGTCATTAAAGAAAAGTTAGAATACAAGCAGAACTACGTATAAAGTACAGAGTCACTGTGTCCGTGAGCTAAACGTCCTGCCACTGATGTAAGGATTTGAATGTGTTATCTTCGGTGTAAAACCTACAGGCAGGAGAATTTCTGTTAAATGCAGTAGAAGGATTTATATTCCCTGCCTTGCCCTGGCACTAGGTAGTATTAGTCACATATCCTGAGTAACCCCAGTTCTCTGCTGGAGTGGGTGGTTGTGCACCGGTACAACTCGTTGCTAGTGGCGGTGTTCTGCATGCGCCCTGCACTGCGATGGCCGCGTTCGTGCATTCTCTGGAGGGGCAGAGATGAGGTGCTTCCGAGTGAACTGCCCTGTGTCAGTGAGAAAATAGTTCTTCATCTCTCAAATCCTTTGTAAATCATTTCTTCATCATCACTTTGATAGCATTGAATTTCTCCTTGTTATTGGCATCGTGAGATCGTGAGTAATGCATAAAACACTGAGCCTGGCATCGCCTTAGATTATATTAGAACTGTTAGATGGTGTGAGGTGTTGGAGTCACTCCACTTTATGTAATTTGTATCTAAATCTGTTTCCTCCTGTTCCATCAAAGTTTATGTCCTCTATTCTTAAGTACTTATGTATAACCCAGGCCTTTGTTCATGGATACATTTTCATTTAGGTACAGAGACAGTTTGTAAGAAAAAACGTAGCACACCCTTTCCTCTCTCTTTTCCCTGTAAATGAACTGTAAAAATGTACCTGTCTAAAACATAAAAGGCTCTTTTCTCCTCATGTCCTTGTGGTTGGCATGAGGGATCCTGGATCCCAGGTCTTCTGCTTGGATATGATTGTTTTAGTGAGATAATCTTACTTATCTGAGTGGAATGGTTTTATATTTACAGAAATTTCTGGAACTGGCTAAGCAAGTAGGAGAATTTATAACATGGAAGCAAGTGGAATGTCCCTTTGAACAAGACCCTAACATTATCCACTACTTGCATACTGCTCCTATTTTTACTGAAGATGGTAAGACTCTGTACAGTCTGTAATCACTGAAAATATGTCTCTTCATCACTACTAATTAACACCTTGATCCATGCTTTGGTGATCTCTCTCACTGACTAGTCCTGGTTCTTTCCTAGCTTTCCTGTCATGCAGCTTGTTCATCCCAAGTCTATCAACCTGTTTTTGCAAATACACCCTTCTAGCTCGTGAAGCTGCTGCCTGATTGCTTTTCTCTTGTCCACAACCGTCTCTATAAGGCACTGTCTAGGAAGTTGCCATTGTGGCCCTATTTTTGTAATCATGAAAAGACGCCACACAGCCATATCGTGGAGTGATATGAATGTCAGCTGTCCCTTAGCCACTCATTCTGTGATTGATGGAGCCAGAACTAATCTCTTCTGCAAACCAACGCTGTCGTCTCTTCAGTGAGCGCAGCCCAGGGCAATGGTAGTCCAGCTGACCTCCTCCACTACAGCAAAGAAATATGTTATGTACAGAAAAGAATTTTTAAGAAAATCTTTTCTAGTAACTAATTTAAGCTATATCTATGAAAGCCCTGTTGTGAAATTATTTCTTTAATTGTCTTTTTATATGTATCTGTCCTCTTCAGTTTGGTATCCAGCATGTCAGACTCTGTCATTTCATATTAGTTTGTGTCAGTTGCCTCTTGGTACATTGTCATGCACAGAACTGTCTAAAGCTATATTCCCATAAGCTATACTGGTGTTGGGTTTATTTTTTCTTGATTCTATATGCAGTTTTCTGTACTAATCCAAGCTAAGCAGACCAGACAGCTTTTATTTCACAGACTACTTCAGAACACAAAATACTGCTTCAAAAATCCTGCCTAAATCCTAAGAAGAACGATTGCCAAAATAGAATAATTAATGTGATTAAAGTAATACGTATCAAAAGGAGAGAGGATGGAGGCATTTATTCTGTTTTTAGGCTTTAAAGTGACAGCAAGTGGAAGTCAGGGGTAAAAGTACAATTTTCAGGCTGCTGAATCAAGAAAGGATGACCTCAGCCCACTAATTGTTTGCAGATTTTTTCTCTCATGCCCTCCTCTGTATTCTTACCACTTTCATGAGATGCCCTTTGTGGAAGTCACAGGAGACCTCCTCTGTACCCAGGAGAAGTGCAGAGCAGAAAGATCTGCCCTGAGTAAAAGGTGGGAGAAGGTATTAGAGAGATGCAGCAGTGGTATGTGAAATGCAGCTGTACTATGATTGTCACAGCGTGGCGGAACACTGGGCTGACACTTGAATATTAAAATGCAATTGAATTGTAGCACAGACTTGAATACTAAGATGGTTCCAGCATTAAGAATAAAGCATTGCTAAACAGTCAAATGAGGAAATGTGTGTGAATGCAAATCACAGCCTACTTAAAAAAAAATCTGTGAAGACAGTGAGGTATTAACGTATCACCAGCTTTTGCAGAGGATACTCTACAGCCTAGGCACATTTTGGTGTCATAAAATGCATCCTACAGTACAAACCTTTGCAGAAAAAAAATATGTGTTTATTTTCTTCTACTGTGTTCTTTCTCTGATTTCGGTAACTCATTCTTACCTTGAAGGTGCTTTGTATCCATCTAGGATACTGTGTCCCCATAAGTTTTAAAAAGATTGAGGATGACAAAGTTCTGTTAAGGGACAAGAATTTCCTTAAACAGTGTATTTGTTTTGCTGTCAGATGTCACAGCCTCTCCTTCTTAATGTTCATGTAACACTTCGGTAGCAGTGCTGTGATGGAGTAAATAGACCCAGATCTATATGCAAATCCAGAAACCATTTAACTGGTTAATATTGTTATAAGAAGATCATGCTAACGTGTTTTAACTGTGGGCTCCTTTTATGTTCTATCAAAATTAACGTAACATCTTTCCAATGGTAGATATGTGAGCTAAACATCAGTGTCCTACTGATTACAAGCTACCTGAGGTACCATGAAGCTTTAAAGTTTCTCTTGCTGTGTGGTCCAATATAGGACATACAAGAATGCAGAGAAAGGTGGTTACTGTTGCTGTTGGAATAAGACGTATTTACCTTTTCCAGGTTTGTATCTGGCTTCCTATGAAAGTGAAAGTCCGGAAAACCAGACAGAAAAAGACAGGTGGAAATCCTTGAGGTAACCACTCATTTTACCAACTCCTTTCTGAAGTACCTCCAAAATGCTGCACTGATAGTCAAAGCTTGTAAAGTGCTGTCATTTAAAATGTGACCTCTGATGAAGGTCTTTCCTATTTCAGACTTATCTACAGAGCTGAGGCTGCACTGATAAAAGCTAATCATAATCTCAAATTATCCACCATTTAAAGAATACCCTCCACTTGTGCATTTATACAGTACTGTACCCAGGAAAAAGAGTCCTGGTGTAGAGGAAGGATGTCCTAGGTTAACTGGATTCTCCTACAGTTTACATCTCTTATTAGAGATGTATAATGGTATGGTATGAGAAGCTGAAGAGAGTGATTTAAAAAAAAAAAACAAAAAACACCCACCTTTATGTTTGCTTTTTTTTTCATTGTTCTTATGTTTTAAATTTACAGATCCACTATTTTAGGAAAGACTTGAAGATTAAGAGATTATTGCAGTAGGTCAAGGAAAAGAAATCTGCAAACATTTTGCACTACTGATTCCAAAGATGCCTGTTTGGGATTTAGACAATTTTTTTGTTTGTTTTTTGTTGGGTTTTTTGACTGCCTAACATGATGGATGAACTGGATTCATCCACTGAAATCAGAAGAACTGTGTGCACAATGACGCTTTTCTAACTGAGACATAGAGAGGAAGGACAAACAGACTATTTGTGGCTGTGCCCAAACCGCGTCAGGATCACTGTAACTTTTGCCTCTGAAGGAAAACATAAGAAAATCAGGAGCATGGAGAACCATGGTACTGCAAAAGAGAAAAGTATAAAAAAAGGAAAGCAAAAATTACGCATGAATATTTCAGAAGCAGGTGCTTCAGACAGAAACTCTTTAAAGCCTCTGAGGATTGTAAAATTAAATCAAACACAGACACCGCAGCAATCTGGTTAATTGCTGAACGAAGAAAGAACTACTTAATCTTACATTAGCAGTCCCCAGCCTTGTTGAACAAAGCACTGACTGCTACAGGTATAAGCTTCCAGCGGATGAAAACTGACATCACCCACTCATATGTATACACGTATGTCACGTATAGACCACATCAGCATGGGACATCGTACAAACCCCATGAATTTTTACAGAGAACAATCTGAATTATGACTATTGCTTAGTTATTCTTCCCACCACTGTCGTTGCTTTTCTTACTGTGAATCTTGGCAGATCTGAGGAGGGCACAGAGTGTAGACGGTATTGCTTAAAGATCCAACCCCCACTACCACCACATCTAAAGTTGAACTGAAGAAGCAAATGACTCTGGATTCAATTTACCTCTATTTAATGTATGTAGCGTATTCCCTAATTTTATTGATGCTGAGTTGCAGCTTTTAGAGGGTTTTATCACACTTAAAGAAAAAAAGATACTGCATTATGATTTGAAAAAAATCTATCAGGTTCCAATTAATACAGTACTGTTTATTTTGCAACATGATACTAAGAGAATAGGAGGGGCGGTTAATTGCTCTGAATTTGGGAACTACACGGTATTCTTTAAAAAGACAAAGGGTTTCAGACTAGAATGAGTGCACTAAAGAATTTTTCAGTCATGAGCAGATAACCATTTTTCTCTTTTTTATTTTATGTTCACCATTTCCTTAAAGATAATACGAAGTAGGGACTATGTTTTCAGTTGTACAATAATCAAGGTGCTACTGTAACACATATATTAAATGATAATGAACTATATGGATATCAGATTCAAAACCAAGCCCTAACAGTAAACTAATTGTATGTTGAAGGAATGCCCCAGAAAAGACCTCAAAAACCTTAAATAAAACCTAAATGCCACATGACACTGAACTTTGCATTTGCACTATTACTGATTTAATACTGGCCTTTTCAGATGTTCCAGTCTTTCTCTGTCTCCAACAGAAGGATGTAACCCCTTCTTTGAGATCAGCAATAGTTTTATTTCAATACAGAGAGATTCCAAGTGGCAGAAGTGGTTTGAAGAATTAGGCTAATCACAAAACCTGGCTACGTTGGCCTATGCATTTAGCCAGAAAACTGGAACTGTTCCTGCCCTCCGCCAGGCCTCAAAAGTTACCCATGCCTGAGTGAGTTGTTGAAATGTGAAGCGTTGGTGAGCTGGTGTTTGAGGGCAGCTCTGACAATTGAGCTGATCAGGAGTGCAGCAGCCTGAGACATTCTCTGTGTGATCTACTGAAGGTTTGTAGTGTCTGTGGTGCAGTTCTTATGTTGGGTTATGAGCTGTGAAAACCTGTGCAATCTGGATCATGGCCACCTGGAATCTACTGCTCTTGCAATTGCTGAGATGAGCAGGACAGTTTCTTCTAGGTTTGCCTACGTAGGGGCTTGAGGCAGAATGTCAATTCTCCTTTTAGTATAGGGCTATCAGCTCATGAATTCAAGCAGGGGGAACATAAAAATGTTATGTGTTTATTCAAACTTTGTATGGAAGAACTAAGTCTGTAAGGATGGTAAAGCATCATTCCAGCCAGCAACGATCACTATTCTAGCGATACTGTTAATATGCTGTTTTGTTTGTTAATTTTTGTACGTGAGCTGAGAGCTATACAGAGAAATGTACACGCAAAGCCATTCCTTCAAGCAGAACCATTTCCAAAATGATTCCATTAAAAGCCTGTTAAATTCCAACCAAATCCAGAGCAATAACCATAAACCTATCTACATGAGTGCTAATGCTTAAGTGTGTTTGCTAAATGGTCATTTTTTTCTTAAGGTCTGCATCTTTTTAACAGGCACACTGTGACTTCATAGTGGCAATGTTTTTTTATTTATCTGAAACCCAATGTAGGTGGATGGGCCCTTTCTTAAAACCTGCTTTTTCAAATGCAAATCCTCACTCCTTTTCAAATGAGCCAGTAGAGGCTGGTACAGCTGAGATTACAACACCCTGAATCAAAATGTGGTATCTCATGATAATACTTTATATTCTTGGGTACCTTCCATGGATTCAGGCAATTTTATGAGTTCAATTAGATCTTGTAAAGTTTATCACTGTTGCAAACTAAACCACTTTCATAGTCCAAAACTTTTGAACCTCATTGCTTAAAATGGAAGCATAAAGGTCAGATTTCAGTAGGTATTAAGGGCTTAGTGGAACTTTCAGAAGCACCAAATTATCTTTAAGCCTTTATGTAGTCACACATTTAAAAGGACTTTTTTCAGAGGTGCTAAACATCCTCATCTCTTGGTGAATACTGAGGCAATTATTGCTTTATAGAGGTGCATGGCATATTGATCCGTAGCATTTGGTCTCCAGAGATGCTGGCTGCTCTTTGCAAAATGACTTGGAGATGAGAGTACAGAGCAACTTAAAATGAGAAGACAGCACTTTTAGAAAACAATAGCTTGTCTTCACATAGTTTTGTAGCTAAAATACTATTAGTTTAAATAGAAATGGTGTAAAGCCTTAAGTTATAGCTGTCAGTTGTGTTTGTAATTCATATTTGGCCAAACTAGGGTGTACAACTCCAGCCAGGAGAGTGGTTAGAGTTTTGCTTCACCAACACGTTTAACAAAGCATGAGTACAACTGAAAATAAAGGATGACAATTTGGGGAATAGATTTCTTCCAAAAATGTATTAATATTACACGAAAATGAGAAAAAGCACTTCCAGTTATTAATGTTTGCTTGCTATAAATATGTAAAGAACTCCTACCATGCTGAAAAGAAAGCAGTATCACTTAACACCAAGCACTAAGCCACTGTAACGCACGTGGTCATTAGACTAACATATACACAAGTTACTAGTAGTAATGTCATGGCTTTCCACCTTTTTCAGTGGATTCACCTCCCTGACAGCTGCTTGAACTAATGCTACACAGAGAACAGAGCAAAACTAGACCTATAGGTCTGTAGTGTTAGTATCAAAACCCTAAGCTAGTAAGATGTGAATATACAATACACTTTCAGAAGCATTAGCTTAGCTTCTGTATACAGCAATATTTTAAGACCCAAATACGTGAAATCACTTTTGCACCTCCTCTAGTGTAATCAGAGTGGTAGCAAAAGTTCTGTTTTTTAATTTCTCGAGTGTGCCATTCTGCAAAGCAGAGCTAGATAAAAAGCCCAGTGAAAAACAATGAGGGAATTGTGTGCCTTCAGCTTGTGTTGAAGTCAGATTAACTTGCTCAGTGCCTTTCAAAAGACACTTAATCATACAATCTTGCCCTCAATTTCACATCAGCATCAATCACATTACCTAATTAAAGGTCAATGGATGTAGGTCTGCTGGGCGTGACTGAATTTTGAGGGAAAAAAAATCTTGAAATGAGTCTAGCACACAAGAACCCTGTGCACAAGACTACACTGATCTTAGGAGATCATTGCTCCCTCTGTTAGGCGGTTAACACAATCCTGTCATACAGCTGGCTGGAAGCTCCCCATGTGCATAGAGGACATACAGATCTGGAAGCAAACTGTGATCCCAGCCACTGCTGAGATGGTACTTTAACAAAGTGTGGACGCAGCTGCTCAAGCACTTCAAATAAGAAACAATTTAAGTGCAGAGATATTTTTCTCAGCTTGAAGATATTTTATGACGTGGTCAGTGATGATAATCACTTAAAATCAAGCCAGTCCCTTACTCATACCTTGGTTACTTCGTCGTGTTTTGTTGTAATAGTTTATGCACCTTTTATTAAAGCACATGAGCACTGGTCTGCACATAACGAAATCCAGTTTAGGACAGAGCTCAGATTACTAAATATGTAATTGGAGTTATCAATAAAAAGACATGTTAGTAGAAAAGCTACTGTTATGCATATCAGTGTAAAAATGTTATGCAGTTAACAGTTCTGGCCTAACAGTGACTCTGTTCCATAGAATGATACTGATCCCAAGCACAGCGGCGTGCCAGAGGAAAAACTTCAATTGATTTTGATGAGCTTTGGAGCAGTCCTTCAGATATTAACTATATTAGAGTTTTAAGTTATTCATAGGGATTAAATTGCATTGACAATGGGTATAGTCCCTGGCCTGTCTTCTGAGCCAAGTGCAACTCTCAGATGGGCAGGTGCACTTAATAGGGTGAAAATCCAGCTTCAGCAAAAGTTTTCTTTGACATTGTTGAAGTTTCAGCACCAAATTCAAGGAGTAGATCTGATCCAATGAATTAATTCCCATCTGAGAGCAAAATTTTACTTTCTGGCTTTAAGAACCTTTTTTTCTTTTTAGACTGGTAGAAATTAGCTTTACTGTCTCAGGTGTCTCTTTCATTGGAAATTAAAACCCTTTTGATTGTGAACTGATTATTTCAATTGTTGTAATTGCAAAATGGGATTATGGAGTGATAAGGCAACAGGGAAAAGCCCCTTTGTCACTGCTCAGAGGCTCAACTGTGGGCCAGAGACTTTCTTTTCTTTTGTCCTTTTTAACATTATCTGTTGAGTGAAATTACCTCAGTAGTTGGTGCAGGGCATTATTGAACTGCGGCTGGGGAACAGTGCACACATATCTGGTGTTTGTATGGCAGCACATACGCTAACAGGGGGATGCATAGATGATGATCCTGTACAAAGCTGACATGCAAATTCATATCTGAGCCTGCACTCTTAGGTTTCTGATACTGGGACGTATCTCTTTTGAAAGGTAGGAAGTTCTTGGAAGCTCACCTGGGGCAAAGCTTACTTCCTTATCCATCTAACAATGATTACAAGTCTTTGAGCTAAAAGAGGTTCCTCTAGAGGACTTGAAACAGGGAAGAATTTGTTATTTAGTTGACAGATTTTAAGATCTAAGCAACATGGAAAAATAAATATTTAAAAAAATTATGAGAAATGCCTTGATGGTTGTTAGCTTTTGTATTTCAGAGCATGGCAGCATGCCATGTGTGCGTACATCCTATTAATATTGATGGCAGCTGGACAGGTGAGAATACAGTGAAATACTGACGTAGGAAGCTGTACTAGTACTTTTGGTTTAATGTTGGGTATGTTCAGAAGCAAGCACACTGCCTTATAGTGTGTCCCTATCCCTGCAACCACTGTTAGCTGCTCTGTAGAACAGCTGAGCTCTGAGCTGAGCAGAGGAGGCAGCAAACAAGTTACCTTTTCTTGATGGAACATATCTGGAGGCTAATCTGTTTTGTATTAATTTCTTTTACAGTTCTTTTTGCATGTTTTCAGATATGCAAAAAGTACTAAATACATTAAGCTAATGCTCATACAGGGTATCACATCCTGCATTTTTACATTATGCAAGATGTAGATAAGAAGCTAATAGCTTGTATGGGTGGTATTCCATACATTCTGCATGGGTGCAAGACACTGAAACTCAGGCTATAACCTCAGCTACAAAGAAAAGCTAAGTATGACTAACTCCTGTCTAGATCCCCTGCCTTGCACTGTAGCCAGATGCAGACTGTAATGCTGTAAATTCAGAGTGGCTTACACTGCTCGCTCTTCCCTTGATGCCTTTCCCTCCACAGAAGCAGTATTTTGCTCCATAAACAGCTCTTGCAGAATGCCACAAACATTTTTCTAGTTCTCTCCTATACAAGGGCTCTATAATCATACTCCAGAGCTGTCATAATAGAATAGGAGTCCTTCTCCCTCCCTTCGTCCCTGTGGCCCTAAAACTGCCAACCCAGACTAATACTGCAGTACAGCAATGTTCCCAGGCCTTCTTGAATGCAGAAGACATAGAGTTCAGAGCTCATGAGTCCTGTAAGTTAAATACCTGTACAGGAAACTTCCTTCTAAAACGTGCAAAGTCCATTTAGCAGACTTTTGACCAGAAAATTCCATAGTCCAGCTATCTTTCAGAGACATGTGAACTGCTACTGGTCAGTACTATATCACTGTTTTCATTATTTAATTACACTTCTAAAATTCCAGTCTTTCTGAAGCAACTAAATATATGATGGTTTCTTGATGTTTGGCCCATGGGGAAACAGAGTTGACAAAATGGGGACTGTAGTTTTGACAGTTGACATCATGTGTATTTCCGTAACAGCCCAAGATGGGTTATCACTTACAGTCTGTCTTTGCCTTGAACTAGAAGGAATTGTTCCAATAGAATCCTCATAATTATGAAAACTTAGTGAAAGGTGTACACACAGTGCTATTAAATTCAAGTGTTTCAAGATAATGATTCTTACACATGTACAAGTACTTCCCTTAAGAGTCTGTCTGTAAGAAGACCATTGCTAGTATGTAACACAGATGGAAAATAAATTATCCTCTGGGTTTTAGAACTTTTAGCAAGTGTTCATCAGCTTATAAAGGTGAGAAATCAGATTTTAAGATTTTTTCACTTTAGAGACAGTACCAGCTGTCTTAAACCTAAACTCCAAGAATGTACTATTCGAAAACATTTATTCACAGACTTAAAAGCACAGAGTAAAAATGGGTAAGCAGAACTGTCCTTATTTTCAGATTGAGAAATTCAAAGGTTGAATAACATATCCAGGGTTGCCTGAAAAGCATGCCCTTTCAAAAAATTACCCCAAAAAGATATACGAACTTTAGTTTTACATTTCTTCTGGTGTAACTCCTTTTTACAACTGTGCTTAGAAAAATGGGAACTAAATTTTCATTTTAGTTTTTAAAAAGAATCAAGCTACGAAGTAAAGATGGATTAAATAACTGGTATATACTGATCATGTGAGCAATAGTAATGAGGAGCTGTGCTTTTTCTGTATCTTTTTCTTTAAATTAAGCAATTCTATTTTATAATTAGCATTTTCAGGTCAAATTGAAATCCCTCTACCATCCATAATACTCAAACCATGTAGCTTTGTTAGAAGTCCTCAGAACAAATATCGACACTTTATTAATTGCACAGGCTGGAAACAGTAAGGTTACTTGAAAGTGGCTGTTATGATTTTGTGTCTGTACATAGATCTTGCAAAATGTTAATGGTAATATGCATACTGTACCCCACAAACACTGCAAGAATAGCATGGTCATTGTTACGCTTTATAGCTGTTGTGGAAAATGTCTTAACCTGCATTCATGATTATAGTGCCCATCCTATTCCCATGCCATTTTATACAGTTGTGGTAAGATTGTTATGAAATCCTTTTGTCAGTCATGTTCGAGCTAACTTACCTATGTATAGAATTTATATATTAAACCCCCCTAATTTATACTGTGTTTTAACAGTTTGCCTGAACTGTCTATGGTTTCTAAATTTTGTAATGTGAGTGTCAAATAAGAATAATAATAATAAAAAAAAAAAGGCTCAACTGTGTGGAATTTGTTCTTCAGCTGTATTTGTAGTAGAGACTTCAACAACTACAAATCTACAGAATAGGCTCTAAAGAAACTCCTGTTGCTTTGAAACTCCAGAAATACAAAGATGTCCCTGACTGCGCAGCAATTCATGAATATGGGTGTAGTCACAAAAGTACCTGTGGTTTCTGCTCTTCTTCTTGTTTCCACTTTACGGCTTCTCTGTCTTCATCCTCACACATTCAGAACATTGCACTGTATGTACACTGCAAGGAAAACAGACAAATTCTCTTAGTTCCCCTAATAAAGTAGACTTAAAACTTCTTCATAATGAGAGGAAAAAGCTGAGACTGGGCCTGAGTATTTTTGGTCTGTTCCTATAAAACTTTGTGGTACAAACTGATGTTTAAATGCATTCTTTTATTATTTGTATGGTAGTAAACTGAAAGCTTCTAGTGAGATCAGGGATCCATTTCAGTAATAATGTACAGTGAGAGACATCCTTGCTTCAAGTGGCTTAAAATTCTTTTAAATAAAGAAGAAAGATGCTCAGAGGTGAAACTCGTGTAGGCGTAAGTGGTAGAGTTTTCTCGATGTAACATTGGGCATCTGCACCACATTGCTTCTGTGTCACTTCTATTCAGCACAGCCTGGTTCTGCCTGCTGTTACCAAGTGAGGACTTCTGCTCTATGTGAGTTGTGTCACTGACTCCAAAGCTTGCACAAGTGTGATGTGCAACCCCCTTTCTCAGGGCAGCATTCTTACGGTGTTGGAGCTCCTGCCAATAGGGACTGTTTAGTCATCTGCCTGAACTGTGTATCAACTGTAGCTTATTCAGCCTTGTCAGTGTCAAGACCCCACATTTTTATTAGGCTAAACCATTTCAATCCTCAGAAGGCTCAGTTGTGCCGCAAACAGAGTGAGAAAAGTTGGAAGTTTCAGTCATCTCAGTGAGCCTTGCGATAAAAGGGAATGGATCAGGTCAGCTCAGCCCAAGGTGATCCCAGCTCGACAATCACACCCTATATTACTAAAGTAAAAACCAGTCTAAACAGTGGGCAGAAAGCATCTTGCCTGGGTGGCAATCTGCCAGCCATTTAAGGCACAGTGTTTTGATTGCCCTTAATATCTTAATACAAGGTAGGAACGTGCTGGGGGCAGCCATAGGCCATTCCCATCGGCCACAGGTCAGAGAGAACCATCATGTTATTTAGCCACAACTTTCCACCAATGCACATGTGAATGAACACAAGTGCCCACACCCACACAAAGTTTCTGGGTCACTGCTCTTCTAAGAAAAATCCTAATAACTCATTAACAAGGAAAATATGTCCCTGAGCCATAACCATATCTTGTTCTTTTTGAACTGGCTGAATATTTGCATTTTTCTATTCTACTGCATCATCTGCAAACCAGTAATTTAAATTTATCCCTTTCAAACATAAACTCTCATGGTGTGGAATACTAGGAAATACTACTGTCAGTTGGTTCTTGCTTTGCCTTTCTGTTGATTCACCCATCCAAGCTATTATCTCTTTGAATTTACATAAGCCACAACAATCTAGGACATTGGCTTACTTGATCGGTAGTTATAGTGATTTGTGAAATGAATAATATATTTTCCCTGATATATCTTGGAAATGCTCCTGGTGTTTTTTCCATCCCTGTTCAGTTCAGTCCAGTCCCTTATAAACAGTATTGTCATTATTCTGTCCCTGAGCTCCCAAGCAAAGCTACAGCTGGTATCACCCAATTGAGGTGATCTATGAAATTTTCTCCATCGGCATAAAAACCCATGGAACTGCAGAAATCCATAAACAGTTAAAGGCACAGCACAACTGCTATTCAACCACTCTCTGACACTAACCAGAGGGAGGAAACCCAAACCCAATACATCTTTAATTAAGAGAAAGCAAGCACAGCATTGGAAGTACTGAAAGCCAGGATTTTTGGGCTCTGTCATTGAGTCTTTCCGAGACTTTGGGCAAGGCAGACAACCCCTGCTTTAAATTTTGTATCTGCACAATGAGAAAACTCAATGAGATTTACATATCCTGAATAGCTGCTGTGAGGATGGATCACCTACTGTTGTAAAGCATTTGAAAGAGGGACTGTGCAAAATTGCATTTTGAAGCAAATGTTTTGAATGTAGCTTTTCATACATGCACAAATGTGTCCCACCAGGATAATTACACTAAATTGTAACATATTCTGCTGTGTAAAGCAATCTAAGCCATGGTTGCATTGTGCGTTACTCTCTCCTCAAGTTGTGCAGACATTTGGTGTTGTAAAGTCTAATTAAACAAGGAAATATCTCATATAAACAACAGTAAATACCATAAGGGTTGACAGCAGAAGTAGCTATAACTACACTCAAATGACTTTCCTTCCCAGTTTTGTAAAGACTAAATTTCTCTAATTTGATTCTTCATCATTAGATTATTCCTGTCTTTAAAATGGCCATTTCTAGAGGGGCTGTCTCTTTGTTTACTTTACATAACCCAGTTGTGGCCAGTGAATTTCTCTTTCTCTGAAACACCACTTAAATTCCAGCTGACATTCCTCTACTGCTGGGTCTCCACTGCCACCTCCTGAACAGGACCAAAAATTAACTGCTTTCAATACTTTTCTTTTGAATGTCTATAGAAGTATTTTTGAAAGCACTTTGCTCAGCACAAAGAGCAATAGCTGAAACTGCTTTCCAATCTGTCTGTAGAAGCTACTTTCTATAAAATCTGTTGTAGGGCTTTTACTTCAGAGCAAAATTTCTTTATTCATGTATATTTGATGCAAAGGTGATGCAACCTTTATATACCATTTTTCTTCATCACAAAGGTTCAAAACAAAAAGCTAATTATTCTTCACTTCTGATAGATTTGTTCATCTTTCAATTGTCAGCTGAAAACCTCTGACTGAAAACAATACATTTTTACTAGCTCCCATTCATTGCATTTTTGTAATGAAAAATAGTTATTTCAACCCCTTTTATTCCAGGCTCAAGATCCTTCATCCTGACAGGAAAGAACTGAAATACCCTCGAACCAAAATTTTCCTGCTTCAAGGTAGTCAGTTCTGATAGTGTCTTCACCATTAGCTGATTTTTTCCATTAAGTGGGACTTCCACAAATTGTCCCTGTGCTGCTATACCCTACTGGAGGGCCTGTCATCTATTTATATGGAAAGACAAAAATAGCAAAGTTAAGACCTAGTAAAACCCTAGAAGAAGCAGTGAGGCAAGGAAGGCAGGTAACATGATCCTGTCACATCCCATCTTCTCTGCCCTGCCAGAGATACCAGCTGCAGGTTTGTCATCAGCCTTTCATCAAGAAACCTTCCATGAAATCCAGATACCCTTCCTAGACATTCCTCTTGGACCAAGAAATCAGTGAGAAACTGTAATTATCTGGTACAGCTGCCTAGTGGCAGTTCAATGGATATTTTCTGCGTGTTCACAGCACATCTGCACGCATGTTCATGTGTGCATGTTCTCTCTCCGTACATGTAATTTTATCCCTCTTTTTTCTGCTGCTTGCAGTCTGAGATAATTTCTCAGTCAGGGGCTGTACCAGGGGATGTTGGAAAAACTCTTAACACTTTGCAGATGTTATTGCTAGTTTTATAAATAATAACCAGTCATTTACATGCTAAGTGAGAAATAGTAAACCACTGGCACCAAAGCCATATTTGGCATTGACAGATTTGGTATATGACAAGGATTATGAGGCTAAAAGTTTTTTTAAAAAACCACATGGCAACAAACAGCCGTCAATGCTTCATATCTTAGTTTCTCTTCTTTATAAACAAAAAAACCAAACCAAAACAAAAAAAGAAAAACAAAACAAACAAAAAAAAAAAAAAACAAAAAAAAAAAAACACCAAAACCAACCAAACAAAAAAAACACCAAACAAACCCAAGAAGAGAAACAGGATTTTCGCTCTAGTGCAAATCACGTTTAAATGCTTATTTTAAGCTCACTGGCAAACAGATTTTAATGAAAACTTTAAAACCATGAAATCAAATGTATGCCTCGTTTAAATGCTTATTTTAAGCTCACTGGCAAACAGATTTTAATGAAAACTTTAAAACCATGAAATCAAATGTATGCCTTCATTTTAGTACTATTTGCTAATAGTTTGAGGGACTGACATTAAAAAGCCACCAACACTCATTCAGTAAAAAGTACACTACACCTTAGACAGTCTGGTTTTTGCTTCAGTTGCAAAACCTTGCTGTATTAGAGCTAAAACTTGCTCAAATTGTTCTGGGAAAGAATCACAGAGTTTGAGAATTTTTCAATTTATCCACTAACCTGCAGAGAGTGTAATTTTCCCTATGTAAAACATTGTGAGCTAATAAATTTGAAGCTTGTGTTTCAGTTCCGCTTTCCTCTCGTTGTGTTTGCTTTAAACAGTATCTTCAGGCTTATTAAATTCTCTGTCTGAAAGCCTGCTAGAGGAGTTGGTAATGCTTTTCCACTGTACAGTAAGGCATTGATTCAGACCTGTGACACCAGGGTTTTGCTTTTCTGGGATCAAGCAAGCATTTCTCTCTGCCAGAGGCACACGACTGTTTGATTCACCGTGGTTCGCTTCCAGGGGTGCAGGAGGCCTTGCAGCAGCAGTGTCCACCTTCGCAGGAACACCAGCTGCCTCCACCCAGTCTGTCCCAGGACTAGGAAACGTCCCTGTGCTTGAGAATCACTGAGGATGGGGTGGTTTAACTTGCCAACTTGGGCGGATAATCACTTTTATTGGGTTTTTACTGTACGGCCTGTTCGCACCACCCAGGAACCGACTCCCCTGGGACTCACCTGACAGCTGCTCTTAAACATTGCCAAGCATGAAAACAGGCCAAACACCGGGTTCAACCTGCACACCGAACTCCTCAAACGCAACACGTGGTGAGCTCATTAGGAGGAATTAATGGGCTGTGTGATTTCGGGAGCCTGTCATCAGTTTGGCGATGCAGCAGGCGGCACTGGAGGCCAAGCCCACAGCTCAGTGGTAT